ACACATAGGTGGCAACTGAGACTGATAGCTTTTCCTTAGCATGCAGCCGCAGGGTGCTTTCTTGTCTACAGGGTTATGTCACGTCACATGAAAACTATGAATTGTGGATCTGTATGGCTTGTGGTGAAAACTCAAGTTGCACCATAAAGACGGTAAGAGGAGGTTTGAGCGTCAATCAATCAATCATTATTTGTATAGCGCCAATTCATCACAAGTTTTATCTTGAGAGGCTTTATAAAAGAGCATATGGGATCATATGCAGGAAGGATTTATCCTTTGTTTTCCTCAGCTTCCTGTTGTCCACACTTCCTTGCCCCTGAGGTGGAGGTCAGAGCAGGACGACGGTGGTTGTGGGGACAACTCAGTCTGATGGTGGTGGCTGGGCGTCAGGGACATCGGGTTGTAGTAGTTCCAGATCATGGTTTTTTTTGGCACTTTACTTCAGTATAATGTTCAGACTTTGCTTGACAACCACAGCTCTCCAAATATCTAGATACAGCAAGAAAGAGTGGCCAAACTCTGTCGCTTTACATAAATTGTCATATCCTCGAGCAGCAACAAATCAGGGTGATGCTACCTGCTTCAAACACTGTAAGATAAGAAGGTGACTTCTTAATGTAAATAAGACTATGTAGGAGAAGCCTGGAGGCAGCTGGAGGTGGAATCGGCTCCTCCTGGACCACTTGCCTGTCGCCAAGCTGATATCTGAAGTTTTGGCGAAGTGTCGCCAGGCTGAATTTCAAATTAAGAAAACTTAAAACTGCAGGAGCAACAGAGTCAGTTAATGTCTAATTTGTCAAAACTCAAGTGTAAACAGCATCAAATAAATTGTAGAAGTTAAGATTTTTCCACAAAGAGGAGCTATAGGTATAACCAGAGGTTCATGATTCACATTCATGTTTAAGCTCTCAGATACATGCTCCTTAAGCGGAGTTGTTAGTTTGGCATGATCTCTCTTTTTCCCTTCAGCTGTAGGCCAGTGTAATTCAGGCGACTTCATGTTTCCTCTGATCATTTAAATGCAGCAGACAAACTGGAGTAATCGCTGTTAGGCTCCTAAATCTACTTTCCCTGCTCGTACCCATTATCATTTAATAGACTGCTCCCCAAAACTGCTTCTTCAAGGCGTTATCTCCTCAGCTCTCCACGAGATAAATCACACTCTCCCTGCTTTGGAGCACCTATGGAGTTTTGCACAGGTCACCTGGAGGCACCCAGCTCATGCAAATGAAGTCATAGGAGTCAAAAATCAGAGAAGAATGCAACTATAGGACCAAAGACATTTTCACCATCGCCTCACCACGATGCGACCTGGGACCAGTCTAATGACTTTACACTTTTCTTCAGGCTTTTAAACAACTGAGCTATACAGCTGGTAAGCTAACTTTGTATGTGACAGAAAGCTGTGTGCAGGGGCGCTGGTGCCGCAGTGGTTAGTCCGTGCGCCCCATGTACAGAGGCTGTTGTCCTCCAGGCGGGCGACACGGGTTCAGATCTGACCTGTGGATCCTTTCCCACTGTCTCTGCCTCCCTGATTTGCGACTCTATCCACTGTCCTATATCTCCAATAAAGGCCCAAAAACAAATCTTTAATAAAAAGAAAGCTGTGTGCAGGTTACATATCACTATGAGTTGTCATGTTGCCTGGATTCTGATGAGTTGGGTTCTGGTGTTGCTCCTGATTTGTTTGGGTTATTTTACTGTTGAGGTTTTGTTGTTGGTTGGGTGTCTCTTCAGTGAGTTGCTGTCTTGTCTCGTCTTGTTTTGCTTTTTATTCTGTTTTTCAGGCTCTTATGTGTTGTGGTTATTTATACTTCAGCATGTGTCAAAGCACTTGCAAACCCTTGGTTTTAAAAGTGTTATACTAATAAAGTTATTATTATTATGTTGAACCTTTTAGTACTCAAACTGATGACAACATCACATTTTTTTTTTATAGTTTTGAGTTTTTTTGAAAGGGGTGCGTTAAGGGTGCAAGAGAGCACCCCTGTAGAACAACACCTGGGACACTCTACGTTCTTGCACCACTTTGCAAGAACTCGCAATTAATGGGAACAAGGGCTGAAGTGTGGATATTGAGACAGGGCCCTACATAGAGTGTGGACAGTGGTGTAGTGCAGGATACACACAGGTATATGGAGTATACCCACTTATTTTTCAGTCTCCATTGGGTATATGCACTTCTAAATCTCTGATTCTCACCATTAATTTATTGACCATATTCAGTTTGATGCTGCATTTCGTAGGATGGTGAAGGGATGACCCACTCTACTCTGTCTTCAACTAAGTAAATATGCAAGAGGTTTCTTATGTCACTGTTAGTAACAGAGGCCGTTGATCCTCCACTTGAAAAAATAATCTTGGGAAAAATTAAGAGTATACCTATTTATTCAGGCACCACTACACCACTGAGTGCTGACAATGTGAGCAAGAAGATACTGCCTCATGTATATCAGGGAGCTTCTTCAATCACAAGCAAAAAATGCTCGTCTCTGCACCAGATGCTTTTATTGTGAAAGGCTGCTTTACCTACTTGACCGTACTTCAGAAGCACCACTACGGTGAAGAAAGTGGTGATATATTTTAAAAAGTGTCGATTTTTAGTAGATTTATAATAAAGAAACATGTGTAGTTTACAAGCCATCATGGCCTCTTAAGAACTTGAATCAATTGACATTGCGAAAAAGCTGATTTTAATGTTGATTTTTCAGGATATTGGTTAATGAATCAAGTGATATCTGTACAGTTGAGCATTGCTGTATGTACTCCATACAGTACTGCCATGCTGCCCTTGTTTCAGTCGAACACCCTTCTTCTTCTTCATTTTCCCCCATTGGTCCCAAATCTGATTATATTCTTATTTCCTTTTTCCTAATCATCACCTTAAACCTCTCCACCAACACACAATCCACTCTTTCATTAAAATTCTGACAGTAATTTCATCACAGCCTCTCCTCCCTCCGTCCTCATGTTGGTGTTCATCTTCAGGATCGATGCAGCCGGAGGAGAGACGATAAGAAGATTTAATAATCCTCCTGATACTGTCACTCCTCTCTCCTTTCTCCTTTCTCTCCTCGTCTACACACAAACGCAAACACAATTACCTTCCAGCCTCACGGCTCCACTTTTGTTTTCTTGCCCTCAAGTTATGACTGAATACATTACGTGACAGCTTTTAAGTCGTCTCTTTTGGATATCTTTATGAAGGATTGCTCTAAGGTACAATGAAGCTGCTTCACCCACACAGTGACTGTTTGTGTCTTTATAGAGTTCAATTAAAGTTAAGATTTATAAAACATAGGTGGGGCAACATGTAACTGCTAAAAACCTCCACCTTATTTTGTTCTTGTTTTCCCCGCAGTAAATCTGCTCTACATGTAAAGTGACACTTTAATTGGAAAATATTAAAAATGTCCAAAACTCAGTTAATGGTCCAAAGCTGAGGAGTGTGCTCAGAATACTAGAAACTAGAAAAATGTTTGCAAGATGAACTAAATTCTATCAAATGAATTAAACATTTTAATCAATATGAAAACGCCTGAAAATCTTGGACTCTGCAAGTCGCACAGCCGTCCAAGAGTGATACATTGGAACGAAACATGTACTGTATGCACACATGTTGTTGCCATGGTAATGGACATTAAAGTTATACCAGAGGCCAGTCAACAACGGAGTAATGCATGGATAACAGCAGATATTTATAAAATATCAGAGGCATATGGATCAGAATGTGAACCCTTCAACAACTTACTTTTCCAATACAATTGATCAAACTTTTATATAATCCTGAGGACGTCATCAAGGATCCTCTTGTAGGGGTTTTGGCTTTACATATGTTTATCATTAATCAATGAAGTGCACCTGTGTTTAAAGCCCCTGTGAGGAGTCTTTTAGGTGGTGATGAATCAGTCTGAATTCTCTCCTGATGTGATCTCCATATGAGCCACAAACAAGACAATTTTATCAACAATGGTCACCAAATTGATGATATATACAGTATATATGGTAAATGGACTTAAGCTTGTACGTATAACACTTTTCTAGTCTTCTGACTACTCAAAGCGCTCTTACAGCGCAGGTCACACCTACACAATCACACACTGATGGTAGAGGCTGCTATGGAAAGTGACCATCTGAAGTAACTAATCCCATTCATACACGTTCATATGCCACTGACGAAGCAGCGGGAGCAATTTGGGGTGTAGTGTCTTGTCCAAGGACACATCGGACATGTTGCTGCAGGTGCTGGGGATCGAACCCCCGACCTTACGATCGAGAGACGGCCGAATCTAGCAACTGAGCCACAGTCGCCTATATATGTATGAAAATTCTCTCAAGTGCTGGAAACAAAAACCTGTCTTGAATATTGATGCTGGACATTACAAAGAAGTAAAATCCTAAGGTGCAGTTGCATTCTGGGAAATGTAGGATCCTGTGTTTCTGAAGCTTCCGAAGCTTGACCCATATTGGAACTAAGTGTCTTAACAGTCATCTTCTAAACCAGCCTCTTCCTAAACATTAAAGAACTTTAATGATACATTGGATGATTGTTTTTTAAAATGTCTGGACACAGTGAAACACAGTGGAAAGTGAAACAATTCAAGTTTTTGGGAGACGTTTGGGTCCATTTTGCTTTTTGTAGCAAATATCAAACCCTCATGCAGCATGGAGCCGACCTGAGAAGAAAACATTTTTATGCCTCGACAGCTGCTGATGTGCTGCCGATTAAACCTCCAATAAATATTAGAAACTACTTTTATTTATAGGACTTTTAATCAAACCTCTGAACGTGAAAGGAGAGAATCCTGTAATCTGTTTAATCACGGCAGACGTCTTTTCATGATTTTTTTAGAGGTTTGATTTCTGCATCTGCTCCTGTGGTTAAGTTTCTCCTTCAATTTACATCAGTGACACACGACCACTTGGTCTAAAGCTCAGTCTGTTTTATTGAAGTCGGCCTCAGACTTGATGTGTGATACCTGCAGGACTGACGTGGAGTCAGCACTGAGTCAGGCTGATGATGGTCACAGGTAGAGCGAGCTGCAACATGAAAAAGAACCACTTAGTTACAATACTTATTAACGCTTTTATTCAACTCTGAAGTCATGGCAGTTTTTCAATTAACCTCAACAGAGGTTGACTTCGCTGCAGCGCTCGTGTACATACGTGTTCCTCTGATGTAGCAACAACACAAGATGAAAGTCATATCATTCTTGCCAGAGGTGAAGAACTCTGGATGAAGATTTCTGCTCTGCGTTGCATTATAAAAACATTATCACAGAGCAAGTTTTCTCAGCTCTCTCTCTCTCTCTCTCTATCGCTCTCTCTCTCACACACACACACACACACGTATTTGAGTCCTCCATGGTTCAACCTTTGAGAAACCTGCACTAAAAGGGAACTCCTGAGTTTGTTAGTACCTGCCTTAGGACTATGGATGAAATGTAGCTTTTGTGCTAATTCCAGTTTATTTACAAGGATGCTATCTGCTGATATGTTGGTTAATGTGCACTGTCCTAATTCAATAAATAAATAAATACAATTAAAGACTGAATTTGACTTAAGTGATCTCTTGTTATTCAACAGGTTTGTTTATAGAGGTATTTTCTGCTGCATCATTTTCTTATATTACTCACAGACAGGGGCGTGTCCAAATAGGCAATAGCAATGGGTGTCATGTCCCCCCCGCCCCTTTTAACTCTGTTTGGCCACCCTATGGTGCCACCCCAGATATTCTTCACCAGGAGACAGGATTTTCAGTATGGGACTCTAAGGGCGCACTCACACGAGCAAAGTTGTCCCGTGCTGTGCTTAAGCATGATTGTCCCCCCCTCCCCATTCCCCCACTGGTCTTTCACTCACACTGCTCCAGGACTAACCGGGCCTGAGCACGATTACCTCTTGTACATAACATTTTAATACAACACATGTACAAGTAATTATGAAGCGTGCTTAGTTTACTAATCAGGCGGACTCAAGAGAAAAAGAAAGAAAAAACAAATAAAGCGCTTGGGTCCGCATCCGCACATCGGAGAACAACGTGGAGAACATTTGTGCCTTACTTTGAGTTATTTTAGTCAGATACAGCCATAACTGTACCATGCCGAAGCACACCTGTTCCAGGCGTGCCAGGTGTACCATGCACGGATTGGAGCACTCAAACAAATTGGGTTCTAGGGGTAAAGCGTGCTTAGGCCCGGTACGGAATGCCAATGGATTATGTGAGTGTGCCCTAATGCCCCCTGCAGTAACAGAACGGGGATGTCACTCAGGCTTCATCCTTTAATATTTACAGCTTATGATAGAAAATACAGAACAATAGAAATACTGACATGACAAAACCCCTAAAGCAAAGTTCATGGGAGCAGCAATGTCAGTAGGACTCTTCCTCTAAGGACCATAAATTCATAGACAAACTCAGATGAAAATCAAACCAGAAACACGTCTACACTGCATATCAATTGGAGGTGTCTATAATATATAAAACCCATCCGTGCAGAGCCAGGCTACTCTGCAGCAGCGTCTGGTGTTTGGTATTCAGCGTGGAGACCCTGTTGAGTAAATGTGTTGAGGAATGGGACCCCGGGCTGATGATCCATTTCACTGCAGCGTGGGGCTGAAATCACCGAGCTCTCAGCTCTCTCTCCATTATCCATACATCACACATGTGAAGCCTAACAAGCAGCTGGACGGCCGACTCCACGGTGAATTACAACAAAACTGATATTTTCAAATCAAATCACATCAAACCACAGATGAAAATATGAAGAGGTGTTATTTTCATGCAAACTGAGGATGGAATATAATAGAGACGAGCTCTCAGATATAAACAGGGTGATTTTGAATCAATACTCTTCATGTGTGATGACTCATATTTAGTAATGTGTCGTCTGTTTGTAACCTCTCCTCTGGCCTCCTAATATTTTCATTTGTACAAAAAAAACCCGATGCGTTTCCAAATGCATGATGATAACACATCTGTTTAAATTTCATGAACGATAGGCCTACGAGTTATCCATAGTTAGGCAGAGACTGACCTGATTGACATGTGGGCGTGGTTTGTCAGGAGGCTTGAAACCTGTCTCCAAAGCCCCCTGCAGTAATAATAATATAATATAATGATATAAAGTAATAATTAATATTTACAGATTATGGTTTCAATTGGAGGGAAAACTCAGCCCAGGGTGAAAAAAAACAGCAGACTTCTCAAATCAGACCATTGGAGTGCAGCTCTTCTGCCAGACACAAGGGGGTGGTGTTGCACACAAAATGCCTGAATGTGTTACCCTATATTGAAAAGATTTTGATGGTGCTAGCAGCAGTCATGCAGGGGTCCTGATAGTTTTACTTAATTTTATACACACTAATCGTAGCACACAATTCTGAAAGCTTGAAGCTCATGCATCAACAACATGACAAAGATGACTCTTACATTTGCTTTTTGAAGGTTGTTTAAATGATTGATCATTTGTTATATCTGTAACACCGGGGTCATAAAGTCAAATAGATACCCAAACATGATTGATAATTGCTTTGTGAAAAATCGTATGTATTTAAGTATTCATGGTGCAGTGAGTGTGCAACTAAGCGAGATGGTGGTTTCAAAAATTGTCAAGAAGTTCATTTAGTAAGGACACAACTGACTACAGACTGACATTTGTTGAGGGTTTAAATGAATGAAACAATGTCTTCTGGAGGTGAGAGTGAATGATGTCACAGAAAAAAGGAGGAATATGGAAGAAAATACACATCAGCTGAAACCTCAGCTGCCAAAGTGATCATCACTCAACATCAGTCGCCTTCTAGTCGTTTAATTTGATCAATCAGCGTTTCAAAAAACATTTTAGAATCACAGGTATGAAAACAGAATGGCTGCATAGTTTCAGTCATGCCAGGAGTAAATTGTGATGTAAGCCTTTATGACTGATTTTCAAGATTCTGCATGAATGTATGTGAGCATAACTGCCAGGATAGAAAAGTTACATTAATTCCAGTGTTAAGCTTTTTCTGGACTAAATCTCACTAATGAATGTGTCTTGAGTGGACTTGTAAAACATACTCTTGTTGATGGGGAATAGAAACATGTACTGGAAATACACTCATCCAAAAGTTTTCAACCAACAACTTTCAAACATCTTATCAGCCAAGCCATCAGCTTTCTATCTTGTAGGCATCAATCTTCAAGATTTTAAATAAATGGTAAAATGGACTTGGGCTTGTATAGAACTTTTCTAGTCTTCTGACTACTCTAAGCGCTTTCACACCGCAGGTTTCATCTACAAATACACACACTGATGGTAGAGGCTGCTATGTAAAGAGTCCATCAGTATTAACTAAACAACGAAAAATTGATAGAGGATAATATAAGTTCAGAAATGTGCATTATTTTAAATGGGAGAACTAACTACTAGTTAACCGTGAGTTAATCATTATCAAAAGATGTTTCTATCAAGACTCTGGCCATCCAGTCATACACATTTTGCTCAGTGGGATCCTTTAGAAATTGTGTAACCTCCATTTTTGTTCCATTGGTAAACAGCAACATATTTTACCAACAGCCGGGCAGGTATGAGGCATCGGTTGCAAACCCGTAAATCCTCAAAGGATGTCGTCCTGAATGTTAATCGCACAAGTTATTCGACATGTTGCTCTGCAGCTCCACGTAGTTATAAGCCTCGAAAAGGAGCATGAGTTCTTGCTTCTCTGCACTGTAGTTACAGATTGAAGTTAAATCTTATCTCTTTGACAGCCTGGATACAGGAACGATGGGTGAAGGACAAAGGCACCTCTAGCAACAACAAGCCAAAGAGAGAGTCACTTTCCTGGAGGAGAGAAGCTGATGGAGAGGCCTTAGAGACCAATGTGTACATCTGTGCTGCAGAAGCATTTCATCCATGAGACATACGACTGATGAATCTGCCAGACCTCTGAGGTCATCAGCCATCTATCTCAGTGATTTAGGCCAAACTGTAGCAAAGTAAAAAATACTTTATGACCACACCCATCCCATAACTAAAGTGTGTGGTCCTTTTTTTAGGCTTCTTTATCAATTCACTAGCTGTTATAACCATTTACCCACATATAGATTTATTGATGACAATGCACCTGTGTGGGCCAGTCATTTATTTAAAAACCTCAAAATGATCTCTTTACTGAACATCAGAGAGTTTAAGCAACACAAATCTATACTTTTATATAGATAAATTACAACAACACGTTTCGGCTTGTGGCCTTCATCAGGCTCATCAAGAAACTCATTGCAAACATCATTTAAATCATCTTTTAATGATGTTATATAAATTAAATATTAAAATGTTCATGTTTTTATTATTGTATAATGATATTATGCCTGCACGCACGCACACGCACGCTTACGTCTGTAATTGGGACGTAATGACGTAGACCAAGGTACCCCTATATAAGAGCTGTCAATCACCGTAATTTTCCCCTTTTGCATTTGAGATTGACAGAGATTGACACGAGTTGACCCAGTGCAAAAACCTGAATACGAGAAAGCTGATTTTTGGCGAAAGCTAACACATCTTGTGGAGAACAAACTTTACTTTGGTGGATTACTTCTGACAAGTGGATAATTTATTTTATCACTTTAAGAAAAACATCTGGAGAGATGGCTCTTCGTTGGACGACATCGCCGGCCCGTGAGGACCACCTGCTGACCGGAGCTGACCTTTCTGACATCCACGACGAAAGTAAGTATAAACTTTAAAATAATATTCTTCAAAATGGAACAAAAAGTGTAGTTAACCCATTTAAATGCGCTAACCAGTAGAGTTTTACCATATTTATGACGTTTGAGTTTAAAAGATATGTAAACCTTACTGAGAAACACTTTTAAAAGTAATATACGGACGTTTTCTTTATAGATAATCTTGTTTTTTGGATTTCGTCCCTCTGTTAAATGTCCCGGGAAAATGTGGAGAATGTTTTAACAATGCCGTGGTGATATAAACACATTTTAATTTAAATTGAGGGGGTTCATTTGACGTAAATTGTCGTCGAAAGTTTGCTTTAAAATGGCGACTAGCCACTTTTTCGAACAATCACAAAATATGAATTTTTTTTTATCACCATGGAGACGGTGGAATTATTCTGAGGGCTTACGTCAGAACGTGCAGATGTAAACAAAGCAGAACGACTTCCTGTTAGCCAAATCTAACCATTTAAAGCTTCATGGTTAAATGTTAAACCACTGTGAGAACACATTCTATAGTTCTGTAATGATTACAGGATGTAGAATTATGTGGAACTATTATTCAATATGAGAAAATAAATTATTAACTACATTCAACCATTAGAGTTGATCTGTCCTAATACATCATTTTTTGTGTGCAATTAACCTCAATTTCTAAGTCGGAATTTATGGCAGTATATAAGAAAGGTTATTTTTTTCTAAATAAGCAAGCCTTCTCATTAAGCATGCATACAGTATAATTCTGGATATACTGTCCATGCTTTTCAGAAGAAGCGAAAGCGAGTAATAAGATCTCATTCATTGAAAATCTATTGGTGGAAATAAAAATGCTTTTTGGATTTATTTTGGATTCAGACGAAAGATGTTGTAATCATAGTCATTGTGTAAAATGTGAAGGACAGGAGATAGACTCAGAAACAGTCAGTTACAGCTGATACTATAAACATCTTTCTCATATTGTGCACGCTGGTGTTTCATGCACAGCTGCAATGTCTGAGACATATACTTGTGCATTTCTAGTTTTTTGGATGTCCTCATACAGGTCATCCAGTGAACAAGTGAATAAAGTCAATATTAGATTGAAAACCATAAAGTAGCCTTATTTATTTCCAGGCTTGAACTTCTTAGAGATGAGGGAGAGCACTCTCTTACAGATTCTGCGTTACACTCATAGATCTGAGAACTTTATCTAAACCTGAAACTGTGGAGATTAAGTATGTGTTTGTATATTTGTACAGTAAATTAAATACTTTTGCATGTGATTTCTTTTCCACCTAGGCAGCTCCCTCCACGCAGACGACCTCCCTGGACGTGCCGAGGATCTCCTGCAGCGGATCAGAGCCCTCAACACTGACCTCCCCGTCTTCAGCTCTGAGGACGAGGGAGATAAGGTAAGTGAACATGAAGCCTTCTACCAGCTCCTTTCTGATGATGAAGATGAGGACGAGGAGGATGAGGTAAGTGAAGGTGAGGTCATCTTCCAGCTCCTTTCTGACGATGAGGACGACGATGTTTTTGAGGTAAGTGAACTTGAGGCCTTCTACCAGCTCCTTTCTGACGATGAAGATGAGGACGATGAGGATGAGGTAAGTGAAGGTGAGGTCATCTTCCAGCTCCTTTCTGACGATGAGGACGATGACGTGTTTGAGGTAAGTGAACTTGAGGCCTTCTACCAGCTCCTTTCTGACGATGAAGATGAGGATGAGGTAAGTGAAGGTGAGGTCATCTTCCAGCTCCTTTCTGACGATGAGGACGACGACATGTTTGAGGTAAGTGAACTTGAGGCCTTCTACCAGCTCCTTTCTGACGATGAAGATGAGGACGATGAGGATGAGGTAAGTGAAGGTGAGGTCATCTTCCAGCTCCTTTCTGACGATGAGGACGATGACGTGTTTGAGGTAAGTGAACTTGAGGCCTTCTACCAGCTCCTTTCTGACGATGAAGATGAGGATGAGGATGAGGTAAGTGAAGGTGAGGTCATCTTCCAGCTCCTTTCTGACGATGAGGACGACGACGTGTTTGAGGTAAGTGAACATGAAGCCTTCTACCAGCTCCTTTCTGATGATGAAGATGAGGACGAGGAGGATGAGGTAAGTGAAGGTGAGGTCATCTTCCAGCTCCTTTCTGACGATGAGGACGACGATGTTTTTGAGGTAAGTGAACTTGAGGCCTTCTACCAGCTCCTTTCTGACGATGAAGATGAGGACGATGAGGATGAGGTAAGTGAAGGTGAGGTCATCTTCCAGCTCCTTTCTGACGATGAGGACGATGACGTGTTTGAGGTAAGTGAACTTGAGGCCTTCTACCAGCTCCTTTCTGACGATGAAGATGAGGACGATGAGGATGAGGTAAGTGAAGGTGAGGTCATCTTCCAGCTCCTTTCTGACGATGAGGACGACGACGTGTTTGAGGTAAGTGAACTTGAGGCCTTCTACCAGCTCCTTTCTGACGATGAAGATGAGGACGATGAGGATGAGGTAAGTGAAGGTGAGGTCATCTTCCAGCTCCTTTCTGACGATGAGGACGATGACGTGTTTGAGGTAAGTGAACTTGAGGCCTTCTACCAGCTCCTTTCTGACGATGAAGATGAGGATGAGGATGAGGTAAGTGAAGGTGAGGTCATCTTCCAGCTCCTTTCTGACGATGAGGACGACGACGTGTTTGAGGTAAGTGAACTTGAGGCCTTCTACCAGCTCCTTTCTGACGATGAAGATGAGGACGATGAGGATGAGGTAAGTGAAGGTGAGGTCATCTTCCAGCTCCTTTCTGACGATGAGGACGATGACGTGTTTGAGGTAAGTGAACTTGAGGCCTTCTACCAGCTCCTTTCTGACGATGAAGATGAGGACGATGAGGATGAGGTAAGTGAAGGTGAGGTCATCTTCCAGCTCCTTTCTGACGATGAGGACGACGACGTGTTTGAGGTAAGTGAACTTGAGGCCTTCTACCAGCTCCTTTCTGACGATGAAGATGAGGACGATGAGGATGAGGTAAGTGAAGGTGAGGTCATCTTCCAGCTCCTTTCTGACGATGAGGACGACGACGTGTTTGAGGTAAGTGAACTTGAGGCCTTCTACCAGCTCCTTTCTGACGATGAAGATGAGGACGATGAGGACGAGGTAAGTGAAGGTGAGGTCATCTTCCAGCTCCTTTCTGACGATGAGGACGATGACGTGTTTGAGGTAAGTGAACTTGAGGCCTTCTACCAGCTCCTTTCTGACGATGAAGATGAGGATGATGAGGATGAGGTAAGTGAACTTGAGGCCTTCTACCAGCTCCTTTCTGACGATGAAGATGAGGATGATGAGGATGAGGTAAGTGAAGGTGAGGTCATCTTCCAGCTCCTTTCTGACGATGATGACGATGACGTGTTTGAGGTAAGTGAACTTGAGGCCTTCTACCAGCTCCTCTCTGACGATGAAGATGAGGACGATGACGATGACGTGTTTGAGGTAAGTGAACTTGAGGCCTTCTACCAGCTTCTTTCTGACGATGAAGATGAGGATGAGGACGAGGAACTTGAGGCCTTCTGCCAGCTCCTTTCTGACGATGAAGACGAGGACGATGAGGTCACCTCGCTCTTCTCTGATGAGGAAGATGAGGTAAGTGAGGGTGAAATCAGTCTTTCACTCCTCTCTCATGATGAAGATGAGGTAAGTGAGGGTAAGAACTCTTTCCCACTCCTCGAGGTAAGTCTGCTTCTCTCGGACGATGACTTGGACCAGAGTCTTCACCTGTCAGACTCCGACTACGACAGCCTGTCTGACTCGGAAGAGGACTCTGGAAGATGTCTGGCCTCCCTCTAATCTCATCCAGCAGTTCCCACCACAACCCGCCTGTCCTCCTTTGGTTCCTGTCCCTCCTTTTGGGATTTGGTTTATGTTCCTCAGAGACTGATTATCAGGATCCTGCAGGATCCTGTTAGCATGAGCAGCCTGTGGAACAGCACCAGGACCTACAACAGTGTCTGCAGCTCTCTCTTTATTTCACAAGAGGAGATGTGAACTAAAAGTCCTCAATGAGTAGCAGACAAAGAAGCCAGGTGTAAGTAAGAAAAGGATAATAACAAATATGTCAAAAGAGGATGTAACCCTTGGAGATCCAGGTCCATCAACTCCTTGACTCGGCTCTTCTGCAAAGAACCTGCAAGAAAGTTACCACCATGAGACAGAGAAAGCCTTATGATCATCCTTTCCTAATATTTATTTTAACTTATTTAAAAGGTCAAATTTGGTGACATTTGTTTCCTAAAAAGTTGAATGTAGATGTTTAGTTATGAAAACACTAACAAAGCTTCTGCAAGTCTTTTTATCTCTCCTTTAGGGATTCTGCAGAGGATGACACCCGCCGGAGAAACCTGATTCAGAGAAGTGCTGCTTCGTATTCGACACCAACAAGAAAAAGTGAGAATAAGAGTCAAAAAGTTTTCATGCCAAAGTGTTCAAAAATATTCACGACTTGTGTTTTTATGTTCCTCAGGGACTCTTCTGGTGTTGTTTCGAACATTCCTGTGACGTCTTAAAGAGTGGATGTGGACACATCCTCTGTATCCTCTACTTGAAGAGCATCGAGCGGTTTCTATGACAACAAGCAAAGGAGTTCCTCCTGCCCTCCAGATGAGAAGGATGGTCGACCGCAAGACAAACTGGAGGATGATGGGCGACTTTTCATCAAACAACAAGTAAACCTTCACTTAGACTGGAGACTAAACTCTGTATAACAATAGTTTGTAAGTGTTAAACATGTTTAGCTACTCCCAGCAGTCACTCTAAAAGATAGAACCAACAGAGTCTAATTAATGTGTCACCTTAAAGAATAAAGGTAGAGTACGTTAGCAGATAAGTCATTAAAGAGGGATTATTATACATATTATATATTTAGATATGATTAATTTAGTGACTGCACATCTGAGAAATGTGTTACATCATCATAACGTCTTTCAAATCAGAGTGTTCACAAATATTCACAACTTGTTTTTCTTTATTTCTCAGGGACTCTTCTGGTGTCTTCGGCTCTCGTGTGACTCCTGAGAGAGGAAGTGGACCAGACGAGCACAGCAGCAATCCTTCACTTCCTGGGACACGTGTTTTATTTTATTTTTAAGATCTGAAATCAAAATGTAAATACTGTACCTAGACAGAGAAGATATAACAAGATCTAAATCAATTTACTAAATATGAAGAAATACTAGAGTTAGTAAAATAAAAGTTGTGTAAATAGAAGAAAAAAAACTAAATTAAATCTAAAATAATACTAAAACTTGATGTGATAAAGATTCAACATGAATGAATTTAAAAGGAGTGGTAAAAGTAAAAGAAGTTAAATGATAAAAAGGATTAAAGAAGTCTTTGCTTCAAAGCGGTCGCTCGCGGCTACAAGTTAAAGCATAAAGTAAAATAATGAAACAAAATAAGGAAATAAGTCAGCAAGGAAGTCAATTAAGATTATTTAATAAACTTATTTTTTATTTCAGTAGACTAATAAAAATAGTTTTTAGTAAAGTTCAGAAACATTTATCTTCATTGCAATATGAAAACAAATTCAGGTTTTTATTCTCCCAGTGAAATCTTTACATTAGTACAGAAACATGTGATAGATTTACTAAATAATAATAATAATAATTAATACCTTAATAATTTTATAAATTAGGAGAATTAGAATTATGATGAAAATAATGATAGTAACAGGACTAGATAATAATAAATGTTTTTGTTGAAATAATAATAGGTGATAATTTGAAAATACATATTTATATCTGTTTTATTAATGACTGGTTTCATGATTTAAGAAAACATCAGACATGATTATTTGGATTGAGCTTCCTCTCAGATTGTGTTTTTAGTTTATTATAGAATATTTAAATGTTTGTGCTCTTGTATATTTCTGTAACGTAGACAGGAGATAATGTCAGCAAAACATCTAAACCAAATAAATATGTTTAATTCACTAAAAAAAAAAAATCATACTGACTATTTGTTTTCTTTTGATTCATGGGTCTTAACGTACTTGATGATACATTTTAAATGACTGACAGTTCAGCTGTGTATTGAAGTCATCCTCACATCTCCTGTGTAGTAAAGCTGTACCTTTAGAGTCATGCTCCTTTGCTGTTGTGACAGGGAGAGCCATGAACTCATGAAAGAGGAAGACACTTGTTATTTCCAATTCTCAACAAGTCGGGTCGGCCTCAGCAGGAGATCTTCTACTGCAGCGACAACATGAGAAGAAAGCGTTTACGTTCCCACCAGAGGTGAAGGATTCTGGACTCCTGCTCCTCGCTGCAACAATCACCTTTTATCACAGTCTTGAGCCTTTTAACAGAAACTAAAGAACAAGTAGTGAACGCCTACAACAAATTCATTTTATAGGCAGCCAAGAGCCGTTTCAGGTCCACATACAGAGAAGGTAACAGGCATGAAGTCCTGATATTTAATGTAACAGTCACAGTTTGAAAGAGGCCAAAGGTACTTGGCAAGAGCTGTGGAAAGCCCAGCTGGATTTCAGAGAAGGAAAACTGAAGGAGGTGAGGAAAGAAACAGGTTTTAAAGGTTAAGAAATGTACAGATGTTAAAACTGCTGGGAGAAATTCTCAAAGAACGCACTCACAGGTTAAATCGATCTGAATATGAATCTCAATCGATTCCCTCACCTGCTGAGTAGCTCTTGCTTGTCACAGTATAATACAGGGTCAATTAAACTTCTGGGGTCAATCTGTCTATTTAGGAAGCACAAGTGTTTGTTCATCAAAAAAAGTGACAACGGGTCCAATGAAAAGGCAAAAGCAAGACAACCCCTTAAAAAAGGGAAATGGTTTTACAAGGTCACCACAGAAAATCGCTCTCTGATCCTTCCTGACAGATTTTTCTCTCGTTTTGTGTTCTGCTTGTGTCGTCGTCACTACTGGTAGCCTGAGGCGGTACTTGCAGCCTTGTTAAGTTGCACAGGTAGCCCAGCTCCTCCAAAATGACACATCCATCCATCAACAGGTTTGCCATTTCTCCCAGCACAGTCTCAAGCCCATGGAGGAGATACCAGGAGACTAGCAGGGGCAGCAGGACCGGTATCAGCTCCTGCATGAGAGGAGGAACACCCTATGAAATGACCTCCAGCAGGCTAATAACGGCATGTTTCTGTCTAAACAGTCAATGATGGACCTGCCAATTCTGCTGTTCTCAAATGTTAAGCACGGTGCAGGATGTTGGGCCCTCATGCCACCCTTATGGTCATGATTTTGCTCAACATATCAAGCATTTCTCACTTTGTATAACCAAGTACAATGGTCTATAGTGTGAACAAATATTGACCGTATGTCTAGCCAATCAAATCAAATCCTGCAGAGTCCACATTTGATAAAGTGCATGGAAATGCAGTGGAAGGTGTTGGATCTTATCTATTTTATCAGGTAAAATTCCATACATATAATATGAACCCAACTGTGCAGAGCCAGGCTACTCTGCAGCAGCGTCTGGTGTTTGGTATTCAGCGTGGAGACCCTGTTGAGTAAATGTGTTGAGGAATGGGACCCCGGGCTGATGATCCATTTCACTGCAGCGTGGGGCTGAAATCACCGAGCTCTCAGCTCTCTCTCCATTATCCATACATCACACATGTGAAGCCTAACAAGCAGCTGGACGGCCGACTCCACGGTGAATTACAACAAAACTGATATTTTCAAATCAAATCACATCAAACCACAGATGAAAATATGAAGAGGTGTTATTTTCATGCAAACTGAGGATGGAATATAATAGAGACGAGCTCTCAGATATAAACAGGGTGATTTTGCTTCTACACCACCAATATGTGACAACTCATACCTGATATATTTAATCTTTTAGTAAAGCAGCCTTTGCCATCCTTCTGTTTCTGTCCAAATATAAAACTTGTTTTTCTAAATATATCTAATTCCCAGGTTATAATTACAATTGTTTTAACTCTGCTGTTTCTGTTTGTTATTATGCAGAGCTGTTTTTATTAGAATGAAAAGTCATATACTACTCTAAAAAATAAAGCTTAAAGTCAGGAGGATGCACATTTGAATCCAAGCATTGGAGGTTTCTACAGTGTTTGTTTATTTATTTATTTCATGTGTATATGCATGAGTATGAACTAAGTTACTGATCCCAAACACTGCAGCATTTATAGCCTAAGATCATTTGCAAAGCCCGTCTCCAGATGGGACTTTAAAATGCAGATAAAACAGAACCAAACGAGCACAACAACAAACAGAGAGAACAGTACAGGATACAAACTATCACACAATAAATCAAAGTAAAACAGGATGAGCAGAGATGACTGGATTCATATCTTTATATTTGTTAAAAGATCAATCAGGGCTTTTCAATGCAGACAAATCATCTCAGTAAAGTGACTGTGTCTAATTACTCTCTGTTGATATTTGTTCTTCATCACAAGGGAGTCCCTTAACTTTCAGTTCACCATAACTTCTGTGTTGTTGTGTCTGCTTTATGAGGAACTAACCTCGACAATAACAAACAGTTATTTGGTGGTGGTGGTGGTGGTGGTGTGGGGGCGGGGGGGGGAGATTCTGCTATGTCGTACTGCGAGATGAAAGATGCACCCGGACTACATTGATAAAGGTACATTATCAATGTACAACGCTTTGCAGGGCATTGAGAGTGAGTGTTGTCAGATGGGGCCCCCTTAGAGGGGTCTCCTGCTGCCGTTGCAAAATTTGCACATTTTGAGGCAATCCTGTGGTTTAACGTTTGTCAGCCATTGGGGGCCCCCCTACTGGGCCCCAAGCAGTTGCCTGCCTTGCCCTTTGACAAGCAGTACTTCTGAGGACAGCGCACATTAAATGGACGTATCAACAAATAGCATTCATGTAAATATGCCAGAATTAGCACAAAAGCTACATTTCATCCATACTCCTAAAAGGCAGGTACTAACAAAAAACATTAAATTTACAATTACAGGACACGTCTAAGGACAGTCTGCAGAACAACACACACACAAAAACCTCTTACACCATTTTATAAACACATTTGACACAGTTGTTGACTTCATATTGTATGTACATCCTGAGTTATATTCCCTGCATGAAATGCTTAAAAGAACAAAAAAGATTGCTAAATCATGTCAATATCTAAGAGCTCAGATTTACATTATAAGTTGCTTGACATGGTGTGATTAAAGACGATAAAAACTAGTACAGAATCAGGTTTGAGGAGCGGAAACTGTTAAAACTGTTAGTGCTAATTAAATGCATTTCAAATCAAGTCATGAAGAAAACTTGAATGAATTCAGTATTGATCGAGCAGAGGAGCACATATCTGTGTTGTGCTAAGCTGAGCAGGAATTATGACAATAAAACAAAAATGTTTTAAACATAAAACTGTAAATATCAGGTTGAAAGTTGTGCAGCACTTATTGGGAGTCACAACTGATGGGACTGATCAACAAAAATAGATGCGTCCTCTTTGACAGATTGGTATCTTAGGACTCACAAAGCTTGAGCTGGCCAATCACAGCTGATGCTCTGCAAATCTTATTCAAATGTTAGAGAGGTGTGTTTGCAGGAGGAGGGGAGTCACTTTAGCCTGTTGTGACCCAAACAGCTTCAGCTGACTCCCTGACGACCTGATCAGGACGAGTCAGGACCTGCCCGGCTCAGAACAAAACATAAAGCAGTCCAGCTGATAGAACTGCTCCATTGTTAATCCACAAAGAAGACGGTTTGATGTTGGAACTTCAGTGGAAAGACGTAATTGATTCCAGCTTTTCAAATGAGACATTTTTGAGGCTTCTGAGATGGTTCATTTAATTACTCTGGGCACTAGTAAAATACATATTAAAATATCAAGTTTACCTCAATCAAAATCAGTCACCCAACACGCCCCTACCTCCAGTGTCCTACAACAACTGACTCAAAGCCCCTCCAGCAGTCTAACAAGTGTTGCTGTTTGCTCAAGGCCAACATAGCTGTATTAAAAATGCCCGTCCTCACCTTTGAGAAAAAAAAAACCTTTGACCTCTTTTCCCCTCTTTATAGCGTGCTGTCTCTTAACTGCAAACAGAAGTGTATTTTACCTCTGAAACAAAGTCTACTGCACCAAAACTAGAATGAAACTAAGCCTTCAGTTTAATCAGATGATGCAATAATAAAGGATGTTTAGTGAAACTGAGCTTAAGGAGGTTTTTATTTTGTAAATGATAGGCCCATCCACAAGTCAGGAAGTTCAAAGCCAATCAGGGACCAGCTCTCTTGCAAAGTTTTTTTTTAAGTCATAGGACTCACTCTTATGATACATGTGCATCGCTCATTTATAAAATAGCATCTGCCTTTTTTCTCAAGACGAAGTAAACCCTGAATGTAACTCATCAGTCCACTGCGATGGCCATTACTCAGAAGCCCTTTTCAGACTGACCGTTCAAGGTGCAATATGTACGTCCTGGGATCTGCAAGACGGGACATGTGGAGCCAGCAGGAGAGAGCAGCGCTGTGTGTGTATGCAATGTCTGAGTGAGTGTGTATATGGAGCTCCCGCTGGTTCTCTACAGGTCGGGCTTCTGCAATGTAATGTGAAATCACAGACTGGAACAACAATATTATGCTGTCGCAGAATCGATATGAATGTAAAAAGAGATAATGACGGCAGAGCTTGGTCTGAAAAGGGCTTCAGACAGATGCTACTTATGCTGGCTGCTACAATCTGGTGCTCGGTAGGCCTGCAGACATGCAGACCTGCATGTGATCTACTCCTGCAAAGACCTTCACTAAAGTTATGAAGACATGGAGGGTACAATAAGGAAAGCAGGAAGAGTGCAGGAAAGTTGATAACAATGTGGGGATCTGATCCTACAGTTAATCAGACACCAGGATGTGTCCCAGGAAGAGCTTAATTAGTCAGTACATGAAGAATATGTGACAATACAGAGGTGAAGGCGGGTTTCATCTGTGAGTATGACTTAAGGATCCTTCACTAAATGCCAGAGAAGATGTTCATGTGTAGTGAAATGTGTGCACTGCAGTTTGCGGTGAATCGTAACTAAGTTTCTGTGGGAGCAGTTAAAGAAAAAGGTCAGTGTGCATGAAGCAGGTTATAAAAGTGATAAAACTTGAGAATGAAAATTCAAAAGGGCAAAGAGAGAGGCAGCAAACGCTGTCATATATGCTCCTCTATGAGTCACAGTCTTATCACACAGACTAACAGGTGACAGTTTGTGTGACTGTGGGAGGATCGAAACACTTTAATGTTATTCAGACTTGTTGTTGAAGTACAGAGCCTCTCTCCTCTCCTCTTGTTCTCACACGGGAGAGGTCGGTGTCGGCTTTTTTAATTAACTGAACTTCCAAATCCATCCTTCATTTTTTGGGGTTTTTTTTGGGGGGGGTTTATATGCCTTTGGTGTAGAGATAGAAGAGTGGATAGAGACGGGAGTTGGGAAACAGAGAGAGTCAAATTTGAAACAGGCCGCCATCTTCAAGGACTATAGTGTCTGTGCATGGGGCGCGTCCCCCTAACCACCACCAGCGTCCCCAAATCAACCGCTCATTGATCATATTTTCGTGTATTGTTTTAAGAGCTTCCTATCCAAGAGGGACCACATATGCAAATTAGCGTTATATCTATCAGTTGTGTTGGACATCATGACCCCGGGCCCCGTCAAACTAATAAACTCAAAGGTCATTAAACTAAAGGTGATGCCTAAAGGTTATTTGGATTAGTGATTATTTCCTCTTCCCAGAATGCCCTGCCATGACAACCCAGAGAGGACATGCCTGAACATGTTGCAAAGGAACATTTTGTTTGTGCTTCATTCTACTACTGATTTTTTTTTTTTATTATGATCATTGATTGGATTACAAATACATGTCTTCATCAACGCCATATAACGTGTATAACATGTAGCTGAGCTGAAAACAAAATAAAATACATGAAGACGTAAGGTCATTTCACCAGTTTTTTTAATAAACCAAAACAATGTAATTCACTTTATACTGCATTATCTGGGGGCCCTGATGGCTGTTAGGTCACGCCCAATATATGGAGGCTATTAGTCCTCCGAGTGGGTGACCAGGAATCTAACCTTACCTGTGGCTCCTTTCTCTCTCTCTCTCCTGATGTCTTTACTCTTTCTGCTATCCTATCAAAATAAAGGCAAAATAAAAACAAAACATTTGAGGAGCTTGAAGAGAGTTTATGACTTACACATACAAAATTAGGATTAAGATTTATTTTTTGGGGCTTTTCGTGCCTTTAATGCAGAGACAGGACAGTGGATAGAGTTGGAAACCAGGGAGAGAGAGCGGGGAATGACATGCGGAAAGGGGCCACGGGTGGAAGCCTACCGCTCGAGACGAGAGTCTCAATACATGGGACTCGCGCCCTAACCATTGCGCCACAAGCGCGCCCCAAAATTAGGACAGTGTTAAACATTAATTTGATATTAGTCTAGATGAGGAGTAGGCCTACTTATATTTTTTTGTTGTAAGCGATGCTTTTGATGTTTTATTGAATATTATTTCTACAATTGGCTACTGACCACCATCAGAAAACCTGCTGCATGGGTCATTTGTAAAGAAAAGATTCAGTTCACAGTCAAAATCATTAATATGACTCTCACTTTAATTTAGCTTCAAATGCTGTGTTCATGTGAAATCACCTGTTGGCCTTTTGAAGGAACGCAGGTTTATGCTACTTCTACTTCAGCATCACTTTTCAGACTTGTATTCTAAAATAGATAACCACTTCTTAAACTGTCTTTGTTTTTACCAACTCCAACTGGCTGCAGTGTCATTACAAAAGGCTCGAGATGAACACATGAAGAAAACCAACAATCTGCCAAACCTGATCCAAACAGGTATTAGTCAAACTGAGCAGTGAACGGTTCAGTGATTGTGTTTGAAATGCAAATCAGAGCTCTGCTAAAAGCTTAGTTAAGTTAGTATTGGATTGCATCAAAGCCCATTACTCTGAACAACAAACAAATCTGTTAACACTTCATCTGGTCGTCAGGAGTTTTTCTCTTTTTGGTTTCAGCCTCTTGATGTGGTTAATTTGAAGCTGCAGTTGGATTCAAACCCAAAACAAGAGAGCGTCAGTTGAGTGCTTAATGGGGAGTGTAATGACATAATAAGCCTTTTGAGTAAAAAGCACAAAATCAAAGACAAAAATAAACATTGGCTGAAACGACAAGCGTGTAAAAGGATCCCTGCTGCATTCAAAACATGCACCCCTTTGTCCATCTTTCCACAAAATGATACCAGTAGAGCAACCTATTAGCTTATCTTGTCCAGTAGCCAAACATGTGAAGATCTCATCCTTTTTTTATTAAATCTTCAAGAAACTTTGCTGTGGATCATTTTTAAAAAGGTTGTTGGCAACATGCTTTACACCTCACATGACACCTACCCCACCTAACAGTTTGAGACAAGAAAAAAAGATCAAAATCAATCTTCTTACTGTTGGGCTGGTTTGTGTTTGCTGGTCATACAGAGAAATTAAGAGTATTCATTTCAGTCTGTTTCATGACCAGCTAAAAACTCCTTAGACGAGGTTTAATATCATAATCAGTGCTTCAAAAAGAGTCATATAGATGTTTATCTGCACGTCATAGCTGCCTATTAAACATCCAAAGCTCATCTCAGTTTCATATAACTTGATGTTAAGATTTATTAAAATGAGTTCTGCTAATGCAATATCTGTGCTTGGAAGAATAAATCAGGCAATGTAGAATAATTTTGTTTGTTTTTTGTACAAAAGAATGACATTAAATATCAGCAATAAACATAGAATAAGCAAAGACTTTTATGTACACGATTAAATGAGACAATAGTGCAGTGGTGGGTAGTGCAAAAATGCTGAGACTAATTGTGTAACAGATGGGTTCATTTACATGAGGTGGATAGTTTTTTACAGTATAAACATTAAGAGTGTGCATATTGGTATCAGAGGAGGATAATAATACAGTATGTATCTGATTAAGTCATTGACACTAAACATAGTTTAAATAATCTAATGTAGGCCTACATTCACAGTGCTTAAAGCAGACCCAAGATGAAGCAACACTAGTTTGGCTGCTTGATCTTGAAAGCTTTTAGAGTGCTGATAAAGGGCTGGAAATGAGCTCAATTTAGCAGAACAAAGGGTCAGAGTCTGCACCTCAACTTGCACGGTTATTCTGGCATATTTTTCATCATGATATCAGCGTATGGTTACCTGGAGTGTCCATTTTGACACCTATGTTGTCTGAGAAGAGTTTCCTGACAAGACTTTGCTTATCTTGATCTGACTTAAGTTTGAACAATGGAAAACCAAACAAAAACAAAAAAAAACAATCCATTCTACAGGCTTCAATACAATAGGCCTACCACTTCTTCAGCCAACAGATATGTAGCCTAACTTATTCGTCAAACATAACCATTAATCAAAGAATGAGCCTCATAATGACACATGCCTCATGCTGCACTGATTAAATTGCATATAAAGTTATACATTTCAACTTTTGTGGGCTCCCTATACCAAATTTTCCCATCTCTGATCACTTCATTTGGAGGATTTTTAGACATCTGAAGTGGTAAAACTACAAAAATGACTGAAAATTAAATAATATTAGCTCTAATCATCCAATGGGGAAATGTCTCTCCCACAACTGTTGATTTTTTTTTTCTGTAATCCCTGACTAATGCATGCCATACACATACTCAGGTCTATTAGGCCTACTAATTAGGCCCAGAAATAGTTTTGGTCTGATGTCTTCAGGTTCCTCCTGCTCATAGGTTTATTCTTGTAAAAATCACTGCCCTCCTCTTCTTCACAAGCTCAGATTTGAAAAGCGTTTAGCGGCAGACTTTGTGTATTGAAGACTATTATGCAATGGGCTTGTCCTCAGTTTGCATTCAGGGCGGGATCCTGCCTGCTGTTCCCACCCACAACTTTTCGCGCTGTCGCCCAGGTGATATTAGCGCCACTCCTGACGCCCCGACAACCCCCCACCTGTGACTCCCATCTGTCTGTTTCAGCCGCAGAGCTCATTACTTCCCGCAGCAGAGACAAAAGCCTCGCAGATTAGGTGAAACATATTAATAGCGGGTTTCTAGGTGCGGGGCTTTAGTACTTGACGCTGCCGGTCACTGTGGGAGAAGAAGCGGGGAACAAGCCAAACTTCTCAGCTGAAAGTCAAAGGTCGTCTATAAAGACGACGTGTCACTCGGTTAAGATTTTTATTATTCTTGTATGTACATGATAATAAAGTAAATGTATGCTAAATGATAAACAGTATATCAAGGAGTGGGAAATCTACATATTGTACGCTACAGTCAACTAGATTAATAGATACAAATGGACTTTTTAATAAAAAGAAAAAAAGAAGCTAGCATATGTTAATGTAACAGCTGTCTTTTCCTTGCTTGTTACATTTTTATTGATTTCTATACGTGAAACAGAACTTGTCATAAGGATTTACAGCCTACTCTACTTGATATGGGATATTTTAACTTAAAAAATGTAGTAGGTTCATTTTAAAGTTATCCTCTTCTTCTCCATTCTGCTGCCTCAATAGGTATAATTTAGCCTTTCTCACGTACATTTTAGAGTCTTTTTCGATAACTGCTGCGTAGCAATACGTTATTTGTTTCCGATAAACTTCATGTAGTTTCATCCTAAAGTTGCTGTGTTAATAATTCACAGCTTTGCCTCTTATTTTTTTTAGTTCTGTATCTGGAGAGGGTTGCAGAGGGAGACCTCTGACTTTTAAAACTCCCCATCAGTCTTGAAGAGAGCGCGCCGGTTGCCCCGCCAACACCACTCTTGGGGGCGTGTTCATAAACACCCCCAAAACGCTGATTGGCTGTCGCCGAATGACGCCTATAATCAACTGTGCGCTGATTGGCCGGAGTCATCCAGATGCCAGAGAGCGCCAGAAAACAAGCTTGAGCGGGGTGATACTGAAGACTCCCCGGGATAGTGCGAGAGTTTCCGCTGATCGGACAGGAGTCTCAGAAGAGAGTCGTGGAGGAACAAGCTAAAAGAGGGCTACCCGCTTATTTTAAAGAGGGAAACTAGCCGCTATGATCTGAAAAAACAACTCACTGACAAGTCTGTAAAGCTGGACACAGAGTCTCAAAGGAACATTTAATTCATTCATTCAACAGCAGGAAGAAAAAGGTAAAGAATGAGGTTTTCTCTCGGTGTGTTTCCTATTAGAGTTATGGTATGCTGGTCAGCTGAGCTAGTAGCTAAGTAGCTAATTAAAGCTAAATTAGCCTTTATTACTTTAATTAAAGAGTAATAAACCCCTTCCTTTACACAGACTCCTTCACACCTTGTGTTAAAGCATTACTTTAAGTGAATTTGTCCTTTTCTTACTTTATAACGTACAGCCTACCTCTACCTCTTGGATTTAACATGATGTTATAACGTCATGTGATAATAGTTTAAGGGTTTATCCAGCTGCAGGTCAGCAGGTTATGTGTGATCGGGATCATTCATGAGTCTTTAGAGGGAATAGTTAATAGTTAAGTTATAGGCGTTAGCTTGCTAAGAGCTAATTAGCTGATGTTCTTTGCGCCAAATTCAGCAGACCACTCGTCAAAGTTGTCCGCAACGCAGCTACCCTTAAATATCATTAACTTCCCCTTCAACCCACAAGACAGAAGTCATGTTATTAACTGTATGTAACTCATTTCTCTGTACTTTTTTTGGACTGCAGATGGAAGTTGAATGTCTGGCACTGAAAGACCTCACAAGTCCCAGGAAGAAAAGTTTCCCCCTGGAGCTGGAGGAGGAGGAGGATGGTGGCCAAAGTGAACAAAAGGTAAGGTGGCTTAATGTCTGGTCCGAGGTGTGGTCTGAGCAGTGTGGCAGGTTTGATCTGATTCCACTTACAGACAGTTGCAGAATCAGGCTGATCAGAGAGAGATGATAGGAACAATGACATGCGTGTTTTTAAAGAGGGAGAGTGTGATATCAGATGGTGCCTTTGGTCCTTAAAGCAAGATTTATAAGTCAAAAGAGTAGGAAAGTATTTGTGGATAAGCAACAATCTCTAGTAAACACCACAACATTCTCAAAATCAGTGGATATGTTTAAAAGTTCTTGATTTCTTTCTTGAAATCTAGTCACTTATGTGAGTGATCTGTAGCTGGCTGTAGCCCCTCTTTGGCCCTGATGAAATCCAGAAGTGTTATTGAAAGCTGTATCTGACCAAAATGACAGAAAATAAGCCATGGGGCAATATTAGTGCAACTGGGACTAGTGTGAGTGTTCCCTTTGTCAACAACTAAAATTACCGTCTTTGTTGCAGGAAAACATCTGCACCGACAGGAGGAGATCCACGCCCCTTAAATCCGCAGAGTCTCCGGTCCCTCCTTTCCTGATCATCCGCAAAGGTTCCACCCCCGACCTGGCCCACATCACCCCCATCAAACACACGGTGCTGGCTGAGCCGTGGACGCCCACCGCCAACCTGAAGATGCTGATCAGTGCGGCGAGCCCGGACATCCGGGACAGAGAGATGAAGAAGGTGCTGTTCAGACCCATAGAGAACGAGAAGGAAAAGCCTGCGAGTCCAGAGGCGGCGGTGGAGGATGCAGAGGTCGAAGACACTTGTCAGGTGCGTGAGATTTTTAGCACTTTCCTGAGAAGCTAAGGACCAAACAAGATAATCAATAAGGCATTCTTTTTGTTCTAAGTTTACTTCCTGAACATGTCGGATTTTTAGGTTTTTCGACAACTGAACTCTCAAGATAGAGTTTTTAACAGCTCAAATATAAAAAAAAGTTATGCCTAATGAATAAAGGCATGTTGTATGAGAAATGGCAGCTGGAGCCAAATGAGTCTGCACTTCTGAGATACGATTATTTGGTACATCAAACATCTACATCATGTATCTGTCTCTTCCTTTTTGGACATCCAGTTCGAGGCTGCGGAGGAAGAGGACGATGCAGACAAAAAGCCGAGCAGGAAGCAGAAGAGTCTGGGTCTGCTCTGCCAGAAGTTTCTGGCCCTCTACCCCGATTACCCTCCACAACACACCCCCATCTGGATCTCACTGGACGAGGTGGCCACCAGTCTTGGTAAGAGCCAGCTTCTGATAACATGGAAGTGAGGGATTAACAGAGGTCGCCTTCATGTGCATTTTTAAAGGTTTTATGACAAGTGCAGTGGTGCCTGCTCAGCGTATAGCCTTGTGTTTATAGAAGACTTCATGCCGCAGTTTGGATTCAGATTTGTTAATGCATATATTTTCTAAAATTCACATTGCTAATTTTTTCACCTCTCACACTCCCGTGGTCAGGAGTGGAGCGGCGGCGGATCTATGACATCGTCAACGTCCTCGAGTCGCTCATGATCGTGGGACGGATAGCCAAGAACAGCTACACATGGTACGGCCGCCAGCAGCTTGAGGCGACGCTGGAGGACCTGCAGCGGAGGGGTCGGCAGCAGGGGTACCACCTCCAGATGGAGCTGTCTACTGAGGCCAGGGAGGCGGGGCAGGGATGTGAGGACGACGGAGTAGAAGGAGACGCCGGCAATGGTAAAAAAAAAAAAAACCTTTAGTTTAGGGATACTCCTAGAAAGAAGACATGCATGTTCTTAATTTCTAATTTTTGTATTACGAGCAGCTTTCCATGCTGTTACTGCTGCATGCTTTAATAGCTGTGATGAAGGTTATTGTTGCACTGACAGGATAAGACCTTCATCTGAATTCTGCCCATGTAAAACAATTTATTGTAGGTGCCACAAAATTAAAACGACAGCTGAACAATGTCTCCCCTCAGACTCAACCTCACAGGAGTGAATACAAGCGTGGTCTCTATGGTGACCCTACCTCACTCACGCATGCCACACACGCAGTTTCATTATTCCGGTGTGTGTGTGTGTGTGTGTGTGTGTACTCGTGGATGTGACAGGATAATAATAGTACTCATGACAAAGAGAGCGTCTTTGTTGTGAAGTAATTGGTTAATGTCTGCTGGTATTGTTGTGGATGGTTGGAGTGTTGTGTCCTCGGGCGATGTAACATTAAATAATAAGCTGCAGAACAACAAACAGACTAAAAGAGTATTACATGGTGTTAATGAGGCTGTAAAATTCAAGCCTTTGTGATATTATGGTTCTGAAAGAGAAAACAGATACAAGGATGAGATGATAAAGGATGCAACTTGTGAAGAGTGAAGGCAGTGGGGCGCGCTGGTGGTGCAATGGTTAGGGCGCGAGTCCCATGTATTGAGACTCTCGTCTCAAGCGGGAGGCCTGGGTTCACTTCCACCCATGGCCCTTTTCTGCATGTCATTCCCCACTCTCTCTCCCTGGTTTCCGACTCTATCCATTGTCCTCTCTCTACATTAAAAGGCACGAAAAGCCCAAAAATAAATCTTAAAAAAAAAAAAAAAAAGAGTGAAGGCAGCAAAAATGATGTCGAGGCGATGAAAACATGTGAATTTTAAAAACATGCACTGAAGAAAGACGTGATAAATTAGGATTCATTTGAAGACAATTTGAGTTTAAAAAATGGCCACGATTTGGCGAAAATAGAGCCATTTTCTTTCAAATATCATTCATCACTCTCAACACAAACATGTTCATTCGGGTCCACAAGGGCAGAAGCAACACAAAGTGTCCATGTGACCGCTGTGGTCTGACGTAACATGTGTGTTTCTCTTCGTCTGCAGCGGGAGCCAACAGGAAAGACAAATCTCTGCGCATCATGAGCCAGAAGTTCGTCATGCTGTTCCTCGTGTCTAAAACTCAGACCGTCACTCTGGACACGGCGGCCAAGATCCTCATCGAGGAGAGTCAGGACTCGTCAAGTCACAGCAAGTATAAAAGTAAGAAACATAGCCTAACCCTAACCCAAAAACTAAAATGTAATAAAACAGAAGAATATACATTTTTTAAAACGGTACATCTAAACGTCTTCTCTGTGTCTGCAGCTAAAGTGCGGCGACTGTACGACATCGCTAACGTGCTGACCAGCCTGGGCCTCATAAAGAAAGTCCACGTCCGAGAGGAGAGGGGGAGGAAGCCGGCCTTCAAGTGGCTCGGCCCTGTGGAGTTTCAAAACTCTGGGAACGGTAAGAATCAGAGACGGGCTCCTTAATCCTTTCAGTAACCAACGGTGACCGATTATGACATCATCTGAATGTAACGCACATTTTCTAAATATTGATGTCATAATCCTCTGTTATCCGTTCAGCTGTCACTCAGCCTGGGGTCACACAGCCAATAACAAGGGAGGACATCATAAACCTAAAGATGTCCCGCCACGCTTCTTTCAACATCGCACCGACCTCCGTGGGCGTCCAGCGGCAGGTCAGCTCTGCGCCCAGCACGCCACGAAGAGAACCAACAGGTAAACGCCTCGAAATGCTTCTCTATGTCACCGTTTAACAAATCAGATTTCAACTTATTACAGCTGAACATTTTTTAATTCTTGTTGTTTTCTTGCTCTGCAGGTCTGTTGAACCAGCCTGTGGATTATTCCATAAAGACTTCAAGCAGCAACGCAGTGCACAGACTGAACTTTGAAAACATCACTGAGTGAGTACACACACACACACACACACACACACACACACACACACACACACACACACACACACACACACACACACACACACACACACACACACACACACACACACACACACACACACACACACACACACACACACACACACACACACACACACACACACACACACACACACACACACACACAAACAAAAGTGACGCTTTTAGTCTTTCAGCAAGTACCTGTTACAAGTACTCCAAATAAGAAGCTGCTCTTCTACAAGCTAACTCTCAGACTGAGGTCTAGTCCACATGTAGACTAGGCATGTATTTAAAAGATAATAATCCCGTCCACACACGCTCAGTTCTCAAAAACATTTTCCTCCACATGAAAACAGGCTGTCATGAGCATGTCGAGTCAACAACAATTCCTCTGCAATGAACATTTTCATTTACAAAGTTGTAGATTCAGGCGCCTCTGCTCGACGTCAACATAGTGGGAGAGAAACTGTTTATGTGTGAACATGAAAAAAGTCCAGTGAGCAACGTTAACACCAGCACTAGTTTGGTTAAATCTGCCATATCTGAAAAATCTTCACCCTGGATGGAGTTTTACAAAAGGTGTGTTTTCGGTGACCTAAGGCCAAAAAGGGAAGCTAAAATGAAAAAAAAACACCCTGTCTGCCTTTGTGTGGACGAGGCCTGAAGCTACACACTTTATATCCAAATGGATAGACGGATAGTTTGATTTACACGTCAGGTTAAAATGTCTGAGGTATAAGATTCTCCTCTATAAACAGATGTTGACTCTCTAGTCTCTCACATATTTTATTTTACACTCTTTTCCTGTGTTTGCATTGGCCAGCGTGTTGAGCTTTAGGCTACATTCATTCAAACGCTGTGGGTGTGCATGGCGTTTTGTCCTGTGTGAATGTGTCGATGGCTCCACAGATACAACAGTAACACAGAAGTTCATATTATTTCTACGGTCAGACTTGTCCAAACTTCAACGGCCTCCGCTCTGTGGCTCTTCAGTGTTTTTAGAAGGAGAGAGAGAGGACACAGAAGTGTGTGTTGAAAAGACGTGTACTAGACATGAAGCTGTCTGGGTGGTGGCCCACAGGATCAAAGATGGAGTCTCATGGTCGGGAAGTGGCCGAGTTAGAGGTCAGCATATCAGTTAAAGTATAGCATAGAGATATGTAGACCCTTCAGATCAGCCCCGGACTAAAGCAACGTGTGTGTGTGCAGGTCTCAATGTAACCCCCTCACTTTGATGACTCATGTTTCTCTTTTTGTTCCATGTGTCTCTGCAGGATCCGTCCTACTGCAGCTCAGCAGACCCCCGCCTGCAGCAGCACTCTACCTCCGTCCTCCACCCACCGCACTCTGCTGGCCCCCTCCCCCCACCCAGAGCACCTCTTCACAAACTCCGCCTCCCCACACTGCTTGGCCTACCTGCCCAGCCTGTCCCAGCCCTCGGTGGTCATGCTGTACAGAACGCCAGAGCAGCCCGAAGTGCAGAGGTCGTCCGGTTCGGAGCCTGAGGAGGGGAGGAAGAGAAGGAGGGAGGAAGGGGAGGAGGAGGAGGAGGAGGAGGTGTCGAAAAAGAAGGGAACGTCTGGGTTAGAGGAATGTGACAAGGTGAGGTGTTGCAAATACAACATAATCATGATTAACATTTGTATTCTGGTTCAGTGCTCCTGTGATTAGAAGATGTCTTATATGGTGCTAAAGATCCTGTTAGTCATTTAGGAAGTCAGAGCGGTAAATTAAAAATATGAAATCCTACACGCTGCCTGGTTAGGATAACTCACTCCTGCTGTAATTAAACACTTAAATCACTCACTTTTAACACATTAGAGGAAATGGAAAACCTCGGATATTAGTCAGGCCACACAATCTTGATGAAAAAAGTTTCGTATTTCCTGGTCTTTAAGAAAGGTAGATTAAAAAGAGTGTAAGCATGAGACCTTTACACGGCAGGCGTTAAGTCCAGAGTTATTAGAAGGTCATTTAATAAATGCACACACATCGGTTCACACTCAATAAATTGTTTTCAATTAGTGTGGAGCATCTTAGACGCATAGTTAAATATTAATAGATTGGTTTGTGTCATTTGATGAGTTCCAGGTTTTTTTATTCTCTGTGTTTGTTTCCTTTCCTTCCAGGCAAGGGAACGAGCAGAGGTCAGCTCCAGGACTTCTCCTGATCGTCCTGCAGGTCTCTCCAGAGAGCAGGCGCTCAACGACATCTCTTATGGTAGCAGCAACGCGCCGGCCCAGCCGTCCCACTACCTCTATGTACCCAACAATGCAGGTAGACACACATCACTTTCAAACCCGCCTAGCCCTGCAGTGACTGATGCTTTCTATTGTTTGTTTTACTCTATGGAAATGCATGGAGACTTTGAATTCACACATTTTCCCGCCGTGTTCTCTCGATTCGTCTCCTCCAGGTCTGAACGGCTTCAACTTCCTCCTCTCCGCTAGCCAATCACCAGCCGGCCTCACGCTTCCCCCCAGCAGTGTTCCCACCCTGCCCATCCCGTACATCCTGGTGCCCTCCTCGGCCCTCCCCCACCACCACCACTACCCCCTGGTCGCCAGCGGTCTGCAGCAGCAGGGCTCCGACCCCCACAACAAACTGAGCTTCAGCCTCCCTGCCGTCATGTCAAACGCACACTTCATGGTCGGGACGGCGCCGTTCGGCCTCGCGGCAGCTTCAGACGTCGGCAGGTCGCCGGCTCCGTCGCCGTCCACCCCGGAGCAGAGCAGGATGTACGGGTCAGCTGCGGGGGCTTCACGTTCCCCCTCAGGATCATGGCAGACCGTCAGCGTCAACACACCTGAACCACTGGTGAGAATGATCTGTGTTCTGTAGCTCACATGGAAGACAGGGTTGTAAAGATACCAGAGTTTGATATTACTCTTGTAAAAATCAAACATCGATACCTGGTTCAACCACGGCAACAAAAAAAAAGAAACCTGAGGCACCCTATATTGGGTCATTTCTTCTCTTTGATGGCCAAACTCCTACAAACTGTAGAGATTGCACAACGTGTTTGTGCAACTAAGACAGTTCTCTCTCTCTCTCTCTCTCTCTCTCTCTCTCTCTCTCTCTCTCTCTCTCTCTCTCTCTCTCTCTCTCTCTCTCTCTCTCTCTCTCTCTCTCTCTCTCTCTCTCTCTCTCTCTCTCTCTCTCTCTCTCTCTCTCTCTCTCTCTCTCTCTCTCTCTCTCTCTCTCTCTCTCTCTCTCTCTCTCTCTCTCTCTCTCTCTCTCTCTCTCTCTCTCTCTCTCTCTCTCTCTCTCTCTCTCTCTCTCTCTCTCGTTGGCTTGCAGCAACTTTTGCTCAAAATATGACTTAAAGATCTTGTTATTCTAAAGCTTTAGTACTTTTTGATCCAATCAATCATTAAAATTATTGTATAAATTACTGTATTACAATGTATTGTATATTTCAAAACAAGTGCTGTCGATAACCATCAAAGTATCAAACGTTTTGACAACATCCTGATGATTTAAAATGACCTTTCTGCAGTCAGGCTGTTGAGCAGATACCACCCAGTGCTTCAAAGTGCAGAGTCTATTTAACCATTTCTCTTCACAGACTCATCTAGACACTTTTGTTGTTAGGTCGGGACTCATTGTGTCTTCTGTAAAGCCAAACAGAAGTCTGCCAGCATTGCTCTTCTCAAACAGAGTTGTCTCTTGACGACCTGCTGAATTAATGCAGCGTTTACAAACTGGGATTATTAATCCACCGATTACGGCCGCAAACTTCCCGGTATTACGGTCTAAGAGTGAGTGGCACGCCCCCTGCCAATATCTGAAAGTCCTTGAATGCATCTTCCGCTTCCTTACAGCCTTCATTTAAAATGTTGCTTAGCAATCTGCCAATCCACACAGAGTATCGTTCTCCCATCTAACCTCCGTCTTTTACCTTCACAGACCCCTCATACTCCAAAGGAAACCACGCCGTCTGCTTCCAAGGCTTTCTTCCAGACCCCGGGCACTCTGGGAAGTGTAGTCAGCGCGGTGCCAGCTGCTCGAAAAAGAGGCTCCGCTCAGAGGAGACTGGACGTGGGTCACCCTCCCCCCACCTGTTAGGACATGATAGGTGGGAGATGCATTAAGCTGTTTAAACTCTCAGGTGTTCATCCTGAAAGTGAACAACATGGTTCAAAACCACTGGTGCTCTGTTAGGTCATTGATTCATAAATTAAGGATGTTTTTCCAAATTTTAGTCCAGAGATTTACTCAGACCTAAACTCGTATTTCCTGAAGATATGAAACAGTTTCTGAAATTATTTTAAACCACATTTCAAGCATCTAAACTTGTAGATGAAGCCGTTGTCGTGTTCTTGTTCTTTGTGTTAACAGTTCCAAGTGCCTCACGGTTCAATTATGGGACACATTTCAGAGCCAACGACTGAAGCAGTATTGCCAATGTGACAGTGCCCTCCTGTGGTGGGAGTCGGCCACTGCTCTATTTTTTTTATTTTGTACATCAGCCTTAATTCTCCCCCTTGAACATGATGAGGCTACCTAATTCCCCCCCCCATCACACGTGTATTATAGCCCAAACGCTATTTATATTAAGATAATATATGTCGATTACAGGTACTGTAATGAAACATTTTTTTAGCACTAAGTATTTGACGAACATGTGTCTAATATTGACGTGATTGAGTGAGAAGTTGGCCCCTTTTTTGTTTAACTGTTAAGGTATAATAGGAAATTTATTAGCTGCTGATCACTGATTTTCACCAAGGTTAGCGGAGCATCCTCTCGACTCATTTCAGAAGTCACTGGAAGGAGAATAATCACTAAAGCCTTAATGTTTACAGCCATCGTGGTATCTGAACAGACAAACAGTTCTTGGGTTTTTTGATGCACAGCAGACACATTCACTCACTCAGACGTTACCTGTGCAGCTTGAACTTCTGCAAACCGAAGTGGTGAACGGTTAAATGACCTAACACTTCAGTGCCATTAAACACGACTGAGAGGGGATGTGATGGGATGATGCTCTCAGGTACTTGAATATTTGTGACTAGACGTGGGTTTTGTTGAAGTATCATAGTACTGTAATGATCAAAAGAGATCATCTATATTTTTAACCCCTGAATTATCTTATTTCTGCATATTTTGGGGTCGTAAAGAATCGCTCCACTTAGCATAAGCGGAAAAAAGTGGGCTACATTAGCTTTGATGTAATCCTCAGGAGCTAATGCACCAGGTGATTGTACGTCGAGTAAAAGTGCATTTCTTTATTTACTGACCGGCTCAGATTGTTGTTGTCTCTTTTCTTCCTCAATTACAGAAAGAATCTCTGCAGAAAAACCCTTTTGTATCAGACGCTGTGTTAAAACACCTCTCTCCAAAGCCACCAGACTCCACTGATAAACAAATGATTTGACTAATGCCGCCGTGATCAATAAGTTATATGTTTGTGTTGAATGAGAAGATTGTGTGGATCCTGACCAACTCAAACAACTTTAAATAAATACCAGATTACTGGCGATCGACCAGCACATCTTTGTGTTCCGCAAGGTTCAATTCATGCATTTGTCGATGGAGTTTGGCGGCTTTGAAGAGATCGACGTTAAAGCTGTTTCCAAAGAAGATCTTATTATAACAAAGGGTTGTTTCTTTAAGAAGCTTTGTGTAAGGTTGTTAGACTTTGTAAGAAACAATCTTGAGCCTGTCAGTGTCATAAACAACATTTTAAAATCGACATACTTTGATTAGTTGAATTAGCTTTGATTTTATTCAGAGGGGCAGCATTACAGCCTGTTCCCTCACTGATTAAGTGACCGAACAGAGCAGATCCAAGACTTTAATTTGAACACCAAGGAATCATTTACATCCTCCATCTAAAGCCCTAGGACTCCCTTTTTAATTAGTCATGACTCATGGGTGCAGAGACTGAGGTTAAGGCTTTTGCAGTCAGGTGTTAACGTGCCTTACTTAAAGGCACCTTTCTGAGAGAGGAGAGTCGTCGACGTCCACGAGGTTTTCTTTAACAGCCCCGGTCACGAGCCCTATGACTTTCCTCTAGACAAAATACTGGTGCTTTTTTTTTTTACAGTAATCATTCAGGAGCTATGTCACACCAAAGGGTGCACAGATAATCCACTGTGATCAGTGGACGCGTCATGTACAGTTTGATGTCTGTAATTATTTGTACATTGTATTCATAGTGTCATTTATACTTTACACATGCACAATGTTACTGTTTTCTTTTTTAAATAATGATTCTTGCACTGCTAGTTTTAGTAGGCATGTCCAAACCTCTGAGCCGTTCTTTCCCTGAACCTCTGTCCACTCTGTAGTTATAGCCACCAACCGGTTCTCTTTTGTACAACTGTCACAAACTTTTATTAAAAATGCTTGACGCTTACGAGCTGTGTCTTGTGTGGGATTCAATTTAAAAGTTCTATGCTCCTCCTTCAACCAGTTTAATACCAATAATTCTCAGAGCTCCTCAAAACATGTGTATGAAGTTTCTTGTTCTAAATCCACTCTGATCCTGTATTTGATCATGCCTATATACCCCTCTATTTCAGCCCTGCTCAGAACAGGCTGTTTCTGTGTCTGTACCTTTAAATATGTAAATGAGCTGTGTCTGACCACGCCCCCCTTTCTGGAAGGGCTTGGGCTTTCTCTCTCCATGTCCTATTGTTTACGGTGAGAAGGCAGACTCAGAGGGCAGAAGAAACACCTAGCTGTGGGAGTGTCACCCACCTGGGGGAGGGGCTACTGCCCTTTGTGATGTCATGAAGGGAAAATCTCCAAACGGCCTGTTTGAGCACACATTTTCTGAAAAGTGGAGCAGACAGAAGACGGAGAGGATGGACTTTTCTAATTATTGGGGGGTTTGTAGACAGACTAGGGACACCTTAGTTTAAGAAACACATGATGAAGTGTATTTTGTATAATATGTGATATAAGGATAAGGAATTTGTGAATGTATTTTGGGTTCTTTTTTTACCAACTGTTTTAGATATATTCTCGCTTTTTTTTTCCAGGGGTAAAACGTCCTTTATACCCTTTTGCTGAATTCTACAATAAAACGATCTGAAATGGCAATCCAAACGTCGACAGATTTACAGATATCTTTAGATAAACTACAGATGCCACTGATAATTCAAAGTCCAATTTAAAATAGACCAACAGATGGAAGCAAGCCATGCAAACGTGATCAGATAACACTCATCTGTATCATAATACGCTGCAAACTGAGCGACAAAACTAAATAATTAGATGCTGCAAAGTTTTAGCTGCTCAAACGGTGAAGTAGTAGTGAAGGTGGCTAAAAATTCAAATTACACACACCGTAAACACAGAGGTCAGACTCATAATTACAACCAATAAAGCTCCATCAGGGAAAAACACATTGAACTCATCAATTGTGACCTCAGGGTCAGATCAGGCTGATTGAGACACACTTTAAAAACACGCGCACACACACACCATCTGTCCGAGCACATCAAATATTTTATATGGGCACTAAAGTGAGTGAGAGAGCTGCCAATAGATGTGTTTGGCCCCCGCGAGGCATTTAGTGCACTAAACCTCAGCAGATGGGACAATTAACTTTATACAGACAGATAGTTTAGCCAAGTGTACGCTGTGGCCAAATAACAGACGCCGTTCAGAACAACAAATACACAGAACTCCACTAACACCCTGTTTGTTTCTAGAAGTGCTACTAGTGATTTATAAAGCTTACCCTTTAACCTCTGCTTTTTCATCTGCAACTTCTGTGTTAGGTGCTGCCTGACATTGTTTTTGTTTCTTTTTTTGCCTTCATTAGATAGTTCAGCCTTAGGAGAGGTAGGGCAGTGGTTCTCAACTGGTAGGTCGGGACCCAGTAGTGGGTCGTGGAGCCATTTTAAGTGGGTCGCGAATGTGTGCTTGGAAAAGAACTTGTTTTAAAAAAAGTGTCCCACAGACTTTTTGATACATCTTTGTTTTGTTCAGTTTCTCACACTTTTTCAGTGAGTAAATCTGATTGGTCGAAGAATATCAGAAATATTGGGTGGCGTTTTTTTTCACGCAGGAGTAGGAGGTGGGTCCTGAGGCCGGACCGGTTGAGAACCACTGAGGTAGGGGATGAGATGCAGCAGAGGGCCGGGGTCAGATTCAAGCCCCACAGCCACTGCGGCGAGGACTATAGCCACTGTACATGGAGTGCACGGCATAACCACGAGGCTATTGGCGCTCCAGTTTTGTTTTCTTTGAGGCACTATGTGACATACATTAACCTCTGATCTGCTGCGCCTGAGTCCACCTCCTCCCCCTTCTCTCTCAATCTGCAGGCAGAATCAGAAGCATGGCTTTAGCCTCCACTTTTCTTTTCATTGAGTATTTGTTAAGACTCCTCTATGTTGCTTCCCCTGACCCAGGATCATAACACTTGAAGCAACTTCTATAAAAGTAACTATTGCTTGTGTAACAGTTTGACCATGACCACCACTAAGCAGTTACTGCTCCATGTTGTTCTTTAACCTTTAACTGCTTTTGCTTTTTCAAACAAAACTAATACAGAGGTGCTGCTAGTCAATAGGAAGGCAGGTAACTGCTTGGGGCCCCCTGAGGACTGAAAAGCTGTGCCTCAAAAATGTTCTGCACTGACATTAGGAAACCCTAAGGGGGCCCCCGATCTGACAGCACTCACTCCCATTGCCCTGTTAAGGGTTGCATGCTTTAATTCTGGGGAAACCAAAATTGTCGATGGGTCAGGGAGTGAAAAAATAAAGAGGGAAAAAAGAGGAAGAGGAGAAAGCATTGGGACACTGGTAGACATAATTGTGATGAACAAAGGCTGAGGGGCCCCCAAATGACCTTTTGCCTGGGGTCCCAATGGAGTCTAGAATCGCCACGTCACTAATATTACTACAGACTGTTTTTGCCATAGCTGAGCAGCCTTACTGCACTCGCACACGCACCAAATGACTCCCAGTTCAACTACTACACTAGTGCAACAAACTTCAGACAAGACTTAGCTTATTAACATAACAACCGGAGACAGGGTAACTTACCGATACACATTTTTTATGTCAATTAATGTTTCTCTAAAGCCAAAGAAGATACTCAATTCCTGTTACAATGTTTGAGCCAATTTAAGAGATTCAGATCCTTGAAAATGTCGGTAAAAAAGATCAAATCAAAAGTCTGAGGATGAGGATCATGCTCCTAGTTCACTAAGGAACAGTCCACATTCTCCAGAGGAATTATAGTCAATCCCAGTCTTGTTTCCAGGAGGTGCTGTTTGTCAACAGGCAAGGCAGGCAGGCAACTGCGTGGAGCCCCAGGCCAGTAGGGGGCCCCCCCCAAGAGCTAACAAACTTAAAACCACAGAAGTGAATCAAAATGTCCACCTCGTCTCTAAGAGGGACAGTACTCACGTCGCTGCTCTTAAACTTAAGTTTGTGAAGTCACCATTGGTGTCAGATTATTTATAACATAATGGTGATGAACACTAGAGGGGCCCCAAGAGACTCTAGGATCACCGCTGCTGGTTTTATAATAGAAAACAACTCTGTTTGCCCTCGAATGGCCAAACATTTAATTTCAATGCAACACACTCTTCATTTCCGTTCATTAAATTGGGCTCTCCTTTACAATTTCCTTACCTCAAGCCTTTGTGTCCATATAAGGTAAACAGGAAATGCAGCTCTACCTGCTACAATCTGTTTTTTTTCTTCTCTTTATTACAGCTCCGTTTCCGCTACAAGAAATTCTTTCTGGATGATTCGGTTTATTCTGATTTAACCCAGGTGTGTTTCCAGATTTGGAAAACTTTGCCTTTCAAACTGAGCTTGTATGAAAGAGGCTCTAGCTTTTTTTTTTTTTTTTTAATCTACTAAACACTGACCTCAGCTGAAGTTCGAGCACTCTGGATCTCATTGAGTTGTCGCTGTACCCAGGCCTCGGGGAAATTCTGATCTCCACAGTTCTGACATTTCACAAGATTACTGCTCTTACAGCCATGATTTTATGTTGTTATAAAAGGTCTTTATAAATCTACCGGTTTAATATCAAACACATTATTTTCCTTTTTTTCCCCCCCAGTAGAAGTATAATATGATAGTTGGATCTTTGTGGTGACTGTCACTGTGGGGCAAAGGTTCAAAATGAGTGAGGGTTTCAGATGCTGCACAGCTGCAGGCTGTGTTCAATCAGCTGTTTCTAATTAACAATCAGTTCAGTTCATTGTCAGATGGAGGAAGGAACAAAACCATTTTCACATGAGTGATGTGTTTCTCTTCAGCCACGTTAAACAAATGAGTGTTGAACGTGATAGCACTGATTCATTTTGTCTTGTAAACATCTTCACTCTAAATGAAACTCTTTTCATTGTGGGGGAAATATAAATGGATGAAAATGCTTTCACAAAACTACAACGCCTGCACATAATTGCATCGTTAAATGAAGAATAATCTGCTAACATTTACGGCTCCAAAGAATTCTTCCTTATAGTCTACATGTTTTCAGCCACTAAGATCATGGTCTGACTTATATTCACAATAGATGGTTTTGTAATGATCAATATTTAATAGAATAAACAATGAACAGATCACCAGTTTGAAGCTCAGTCAGAAATGATCGCTCACAAGATGAAGTGGATTAAATATTCTTACAGGGCTCTCTGTTATATGGATCAAAGTAAACATAACTTATAATTGTGAAGCTCAGGTTTGATGGTTTGCAAACAGAAGGTTAATTGGAACAATTAAATGTGGGTTTTTTTCAACTAAAATATAAATGCATGTGTCTCAAATGTACTCCTCCTTGTTCTCTTGACGAGGACGTTGGCTCCGTCAGGTTTGAGGTTAATGGGACGGGATCTTCCCGAGGATCTCCATGTCCATGGAGAAATATATCTCCAGACTCCATGTTGTGGTCCCTGATCCAGATCAGTGAGCTGGGTTGTTGGAGCCTTATGTCTTTGAGGATCAGCTTCTTGGTCAGCATTGTATTTAAATCTTTAATTGAGTTCAAACCTAGCCTCCTCAAACATCTTAAAGTTAAAGCACTAAAATCAACATAATGTATCATGCCATGTGTTTGAAACTGCTACTTGGGGATTAAGGAGTCGGGTCCAATTTTGAATAAAAGCAGGAAAGAAATGTGAAACATGTAAGCCCAAATTAACGGCGTATAATAATTCTAATGCATTATCACACTTTAGTTGAACTAGTGGACAGAAAACTGCAGAGGTTAACATACATTGGTGCACTGAAACATTAGTCTTTCTTTTTGATGCAAAAGAACAGATGTCAGACACGCCAATGTGTTTAGAGTTATTATCAGGATGTGGTCTGTGGTTGCCTTTTGAGATGTTGAGTTATAATTCCACACAAAAATGTTCCATTTTTGTGTTTTTCTTGCTGCTATAAAAAAATGTTGACCCCATGCTTCAAACGCAAACCTTCAGTCATGATAAACTGTGTCCAGCAGGGGGCAGGATAGCTACACATTTCACCAATATTTCCAGAGTATAATATTATCAATATGTAACATGCATGTGCACTAATGGACACAGCTGCCTGCAGGAAAGGAAATCATAAACCAAGTGGGATAAGTGGAGTTGGTGCACTGTCTCCACCTCACTTCCTGTTATCATAACAACAGAAAGAACAGCTTCATTTTTCCAGCTAAAATCCACATCATTTAATTTGAAAATACATTAAAATACAAATGTCTGGCTCACTGCACACTTTACATTCAGGGTTTTCAACATTAGGTCCTGCAGCGATGTATATTAAAGCACAGAATCCACCAGAAAATGTGTTCTGAAGTGTCCTTGAGTTTGGAGCAGAGTCATTTCAGGTGGTCTGCCAAAAGTCTCAAGTGCTCTGAATAATCCACTTAAAGACTTCCATTATATTTGGGTCACAGCCATTGGCCCTAATCATTACAAAAAGGAGGACATGACCTTTAATGAACAGAAGAAATAGATTATACAAAAGGTTAATGTAGTTAGCACAGGGGAACCCCATTAGTTGTACACAGAGGCGCTGCTGGTCAATAGGCAAGGCAGGCAACTGTTTGGGACCCCAGGACAGTAGGGGCCTCCTGAGGGCTGACAGCACTCTCATTGCCCTTTTAAGTGTTGCATGTTTTAATTCTGTGAAAACCAAAGTTTATCGATGAGTCTGGGAGAGATAAAAGAGGAAGAGGAGAAAGCATCAGGACACTGGTAGACATGATGGTGATGAATGCAGGTTGAGGGGCCCCCAAATGACCTTTTGCCTCGGGTCCCAATGGAGTCTATCGCCACTGGTAAATATGAGCATTTGTCGGAATAATATATGAACTAATAGAAGAACCCTGAGAAAGGGGGTAGGCATATATACTTTTTATTATTACCTACTCCTTTTTTGGACACTGTTCATTTTCTTCTTTTTTTTATTATTGTTTTAGTTTGAAATAAAGTCTTTCATTCATTCATTACGTTCGCATTGTTGTTTACGCAGGTGTACGTGAATGCAACAGTTCATTTTCCATCGTTTTTCTCCTGAGCGTACCTGAACGCAACGTGTTGAGTTCACGCCCCTCAAAAACCCCTCCTCCTTTCACTGAAACAGTAAATATGTGCAGTATGTGGCATTTCACAGTCAGTGGAGTAAAGTGTGCAGCTGCTGAGGAGGAGAGTGGTCTGGATACTTACCTTTTAGAACTCTACAAGGTAACTTTTTTATTTTATTACATTGTGCTCAAACGATTTCACATTACTGTCAAGACACAGATCACTGAAAATATGACTTTTATCAGGGTTAATGTCTGTTTTAAGTCAGCCTAGAAGAAAATGAATGAGACCTTTACTGTTACAGTGCCTAATTGTTTAACATTTGGTTATAACCGGGAAATGACGTTAAAACTGCCTCTAGATAACTTTAATGAAAGTCTGTTATTATAAAAGCTTGTGAAGTCGAACAGGAATTGAACATATTTACGTCTAAAGGTATTAAAACAAGTCAAGATATCTATCTTAGAGCTAACGGGTTTTCTAATTAGTAACAACAGCCTCAGGCTTTGTGTTTTATTCATAATGGCTAATTAGCAATCAAATAAAACTTTATTGATACGAGACTTTCTAACACAGGTCTCAAAGTGCTTTACATCAGACCACAGAAAACTAATTAAACAACACCTGTAGTGTCATGTAAGGTACCAGGGTGATAACAATAAGTTATAACATGTTTTGTAAAAAGCGTAATAAACAAAAGACAGGTTAATCCTTTTTTAAAGATGAACCCTGAACAATACGTGTCCAAGGTTTATCACTGCTTTTATTCTGTTAAATTGTATTTTGTGGTGCCTTTACGAAACACCTTGGAGAGGAAGCGAATTAAAAAGTATGCAAATTAATACAAAACTAGAAAAAAACTAAACATGTTGACGTAATATTTATCAAAAATAATACAGCAGAAAAGGTTTACTTCTAAAAGAACAACTTTAACATTTACATGTATTATGTCTTAAAGAGACGACAGGTTCATCTTACCTTTTATTAAATCTTGTGAGAGCAAAAACTGTTAAAACAGCAAAGGGACCACAGGAATCACCCCTATTTCTTAAAATACTGAAATAATGTAATGGTTACTTACTTTCAGCTCTACTGGGTAACAGAGTGTATTGAGAATAGTTTCAGGAAAAGTTAGACAAGAAATGTCAAATAGACTTTAGTTAAAAAAAATCAGTGAACCTTATAAGTTAATTTAATAAAATGCAAATCCATTACAGAGTTTCCACATGAAGAAAAATTCAATGAGTCACCATTTGTGAATAGATCAGTAACAGTAAAATCTGCATTAGTCCTGGTTCAGTTCAGTGGAACATTTTAATGTCCAACAATGATCTCAAACTTGATTTGCAGAATTAAGGATATTGTGTTACAGCTCAGAAACGCTCTTTACTGAAGTCAGTTAAACTTGAAATAGATCTGTGGTGGTCTACAGAGGCCAAACCCACGACATTTCTATCAACAGCAGACTTGTTGGTCTGCAGTCTGCACACTTCAACACCAACCAACCCTCTGATCACACCCAACCCCCTGAGGGAAAATTTGAGGGTAATGTTTGTGGTCTTTTGATCCCCTCTCGTGCTCGGGCCTGTTCTGCAGTCTGTAATCCAGCTGGGAGGAGATCGTACTGACTGACAAGATTAATAGTCTCTTTTTCTTTGTGTTTACCTTTCAATTCATTCACAATAACAGGACCTTTTAATGCAAGTCTTAAAAAGCATGCTATCACAGTCTTTAAATGTTAAATCTGTCTCTTTTGGGAACTCATTGACGCCTCCTTGTCATAAATTCAAAAGGGCAGTGAGTCTGTAATAACAGGCAGATGTACATGTGAGTCAGGGAGGGAATTGAGCGTCACATGAGCTCTGGTGGTAACAACAGTGTTTACGACGCACTCGCTCGTCTACTTTGCTGTTTGTTTTTGTGTATCCTGCAGCCACAACCCGTCAGACAACAAAAGCCTTAAGGGCATGGCGCCCTGAAACATTCCTCGGGGTATTAGAGTGCCCTGTTGTTTATGAGGACCTATTTTGCATCGTACAAAACTTCTTTTATTTGGATTGAAGTTGTTGCCTGGAGCGGTGTTTTTCAAATCAACCTGCAATACTAAAACCAGAAATCCAACAACATGTCTCCCCAAAGACAAAAGTAGAATTCTCTAAATGTTTACCGAAGAGGTCTTAAAAAACAAACAGGCCATATACCTGTGAGCACTGCATTTATCAGGTGCTATGTTTGCCAAAGAAACAAGAGAGATGGATGTAACCATGGTGGCATTGCCATTTTGTGGTTGTATCTGTTGCAATAAATCTTTCCAGGAGTGACCATTTTTCCAAGAGTGGGTGGAGCCTGAAAGGTTGGTTATTCGCACTTCCAAAGTTGCCGCTTGTAGCCGGACCGTTCAATGTTTACATCCATTCTATAAATGGTGACACACATTTCCACTTGTTGGCACATCCTCGAGGTAAATAAAAGAAAGAGCATAAAGGAATCAAGGCATTTCTGAAAAACCTCCCCTCTCAGTTTTATGAGAATCATTCCTTGGTGAAACAAAAGTCTCCACAGTTCAGATGAGTAACAAGCAAGAGATCAATAAGGACAGACAGAGTATCCCTGACTCACATCCTTCTTCCTCTTCTTTCACCTTTCTATCTCTTCTCAGACACTGACACGATGCCAAACTGGGGAGGAGGCAACAAGTGTACGGCGTGCCGGGGGACGGTTTACCACGCTGAGGAGGTGCAGTGTGACGGAAAGTTTTTCCACAAATGCTGTTTCCTCTGCAGTGAGTACAGCTGTGACACATAAAACCCTGCAGAGGGATCACACTAAAAGCACTCTCTTTGTTTGAATGTCCAGCCATTTGTGTATCTTGCCATTTCTACGACATGTCACAGAGAGTTTTACTCTCTGTGGAAAAGAGAAGTACAATTTCATTTCCCTACTGAAAAATACATTTCAACAAAATTAAACCTTCCTGCAAAACAACAACAAAAATAAGGAAAAAGATTTTGTGAAGTGAAATGCAAACTTCATAATTTGACAGAGTCACCAAATGTGATGCATGAGGGACAGTGTTCTTCTAACCGTAAAGACTCAGATTAAAAGCTGTCTCTACCTCTCAAGAGTCTTAAATATCATTATGTTAGCCCAGCCAACAGCAGATATTACATTAAAAGGCACATGTTTTTTGTATTTATAATCTAATAAAAGTCTGTTTTCGCTGTTATGTCCTTGGCACAAGAAGATGAGTCAGGAGAGAGACTGGTGGGCTCACATTCATCTTTTCCACCGCTCATCATAGGGAGCGTGTGCTGACATTTCTCTCTCTGCTTGCATTGTTGTTCGTTTCTCGAACGGGGTGGGGGCGGCTTTGTCCTGCTCTTGAACCATCCTTGAAATGTCAAAGGAGGGAGATGTTCCAGCAGATGGACGAGGATTTATACAAACGCTCTCATTTAGCCGCTATCAAGAAGAAGAGTGAAGCGGTCAGCGACACAACAGATGAGTTTATACTTTCCAGCGGTTTTCAATTCAAAGGCAGCTTTGTCTCAAACTCCTACTGAGGAGATGTTGAGGCAAAAGGAACTTCATGTTCTTGACTCTTCTCTGCCCTTTCGTCCAGTTTCTCAGTTTGACATTCAACACTTTGTATGTGCATGAAAGGCAGCAACATACTGACAGAAATGCCACACAGATTCAAAAGACTCTTTCCACACTAACTCTTTGATTTGCTTGCTCAGGGATTAATGATCCAGCTGTTTGCAAACAGTTGCAACAAAGGTGATTAAACACATTGGGGCGACTTTATTTGGCTGAACTGGAATCGTCTAAGAAGCACGCAAGGTTTTTAAACTTTAAAGGAGTGGGTGGGGGAGACCAGAGAGGACATGAGTGGAGACTTTTTTTCCAGCCAGTTGTGTGAAATCTTAAACCCATATGACACAGTGACGCAGTGTCGGCCAGAGTGTGAAGAATTCATCTGATCCCAGCAGCCAGTGTGCGGTCGTAATCCACTGTACTGCTTTTGTTGTCTCAGATAATGCATTCTTTACTTTGCACCAACCCGCCAAAAGTAGAACACAGGCTTTGTCACGATGCCAGATTTTAAAACTTTAAACGACTCTAGCAGACATAAAAAAATATCGGTACCTGTTTCAATACCATGGCAGCAACAAAACAAGTTTTGCGCAATTTAGACAGTTCTCTCTCTCCTGGCTCGTGGCAGGTTATTTTTTATGTAACCTTTAAAGAACCAGGTTTGTCCCATTGAGATTAAGAACCTCTTTTCCAAGGTGGACCTAGCCAAGACAGTCAGCAGCAAAAAAACACAAAGTTGCAGTCAGAGACACAAAGAGAGACAAAGTATAATTTACAAAAACTCAAATTAGCTTCAAAAGAGAACCATCAATGAGTCAATTTTTGGGAGTCAATAGTTCAAGCAGTCGAGTTGAAAACGTCGACATCCTGTAGAATCTGCTTCCATGTGTTTCATTTTAGATTAAAAAAAAACATTTCAGGACAGACGCTCCTTGAATTTCAAGTCATTCTGGGTCAATAATGACTGAAGATCTGGAGGCTTACAGGACTGCAGCCTCTGCACAAGGGGCGCGCAAACTAACCACTAGGCCACCTAAAGTTTTTTTTTAACTTCTCAACTGTCAATACTAGCGATCATTCTAATAACAGAGATTGCATCGTTTAAAAAAGAAGTGGAATCGATAAGTATCACAGTATCAAATATATTGACAACCTTACTGTACAGTGATGGAATTGAAATCATGAACTCTGTTGAAGTTGAATTCTTGTGGGAAACTAGCTCCAGTTCTGGTGTCAAAAGCTTAAAAAGAAGAAGTGAGTTGAATTTCAGCTAAAGTGAAAGACCTGCAAAGAGTTACAGGATTGTTCTTTTTGAAGATCTGTAACCTGAATCAGTCAAAGTCACTTGATCTGAAAGTGGTAAGTGGTAAGTACAGAAAGAACTGGACATTTCTTTTACAATGTAATGCTCCAGACAAACCAAACTGACAGTGTAATGGAAGCCAGACTGTTGAATTACCTTTGGTTTCCCATCCATGCCGTGGCCGACTTCCATGTACAGTCTGCTGCAGCCTGAGAGAAAATGACTCCACTTACAAGCAGGTGATGGTAGTCTATATGTTGTTGTTCAAAAAGAGAAACCAACAGGACAACTCAAAGTCCAAACAAGGTCAACAATGTCTTTGTTCATAAATATTTACAGCGAGGAGGTTTTAAATTGGTCAAACTTTTCTGGAGTGAAAAAAGGTGTTTTTAAAAATCATTGATATCATCACAATGTGAAGCCTAAAGTCTAGAAATAACCTGCAGCCAGGGGCCAAAATCATCGTGCATATTTAGTCAGCTGCTAACGCTGAGGTAAACAGGAAGCTCTAACTTTTTTAGCGCAGGAACAAGGTGACCAACTTTTTTGGACTGAATAGATATTATCTAAAACTTTTTGTAAAAGATTTTCTGCACCACGATGCAGGAAGGATTTCTCCTTTGCATTCCTCATGTTCCTGTTGTCCACACTTCCTCTCCGCTGAGGTGGAGGTCGGAGCAGGCCGTGCATGAATGAGGACGGCGGTGGTTGTGGGAGCGACACAGTCTGATGGTGGAGGCTGGGCGTCAGGGATGTCGGGTGGTAGTAGTGCCAGATCACGTCGCTGAAGGTTGGGGGGAGCTCCATTTACTCGAGAGTCTGGCTTCTGCTGCCGGGACAAGACCTCCCGGGCTTCTAACACACTGACACAGGGGGGGGGGGGGGGGGGTCCATAGCAGCATGCTGTCCCCACCAACAATCCCGAGGAACCTACAAGACCTGAGAGCTCAGGAGTAAAGTCTTCTCTTGTAAATGTACAAATGATGCGCTATCGTCTTATGTCTTCCTTAAGAAACAACATTTTCATGACAAAGAGTTCAATTGTATTTCTTGGTAATGTGCACAGATACAGTCTTCATGCCTAATAACCACTTCTTACTTTCTGTGTCCTCAGTGGTTTGCAGGAAGGGCTTAGACAGCACCACGCTGGCCATTCATGACCAGGAGATCTACTGCAAGTCATGCTACGGGAAGAAGTACGGCCCCAAAGGTTACGGCTACGGTCAGGGCGCGGGGACGCTCAACATGGACCGAGGAGAGCGGCTGGGAATCAAACACGAAGAGTAAGCTGGAACTACTGCTCGAGTGATGATTGCATGAAGTTTTGTGACGCTCAGTTTTGGTTCACTGTGACTTAGAATGAAGATAATTTAAATTTGGAGGTTATTTCAGGCAACATGCCAAAGAATGCCTGCAGTCATTGTTTCAAAGAAGCCATGTGCTCCAAGTAACTGCAACATGACTTCACATGGACTCTTTTTTAAATTGTCCATGAGGTTGAAGAGGTCAGTTGGTTCAGTGGTCCACTGTTTGTGTAAGGTTGTTTATACGTCGAGGCTGCTGACTCTGACTGTGCCTTTGTCCCCAAACAGCATGCAGTCATTGTGTTAAAGTCAAATAGCTCCAAAAAAGAACATGAACAAAGACCCTGAATATAGTCTTATGATAGCATATCCCAAGTACAGATGGGCTCAAAATTGCCTGGAAAAGCAGGATTTGTTTTCCCAGAACTTCTCGCTGTTGAATTTTTTTCACGAGGCAACCGGAAATAAATCTTGATGGGAAATTTGGTAAACAGTCCACCGCTTTATCAAATACAGCTGGGCTGGTTTGGTGAGCAGAGTACGTCAAGGAAGAGAAATGTAATGATCGGAGAGTGTAACGGTTCAGGACTGATTCTCTCCAAGACGGATACAAAATCCCCTCTCACTGCGTTTCGTTCTGAACTTGTTTGTGTTCCTTCTTCCCTTTCTTTTGGAAGGCCTGGCCCTTGACCTCGAATATACAAATCATTATTCAAAAATTCTCTGAACTTTACAGTGCAGGAGAAACAGCGTAGCAAGCTGTAAACGTACAAAATCAGTCACAAAAAAGCCCTTCAGTGTTCATCTTTCACAAGGTTGTTAAGTCATACTGAGAGGACTCCCCCCTCCAGAGTGAATACAACTGCTAGAAACAATGATTAAAGGCTTTTCACGTTAAAAATCAATGTTTCTCGGACGCAGGATGTCACGATGCGTCGGGCTGAGAGCTGAGCTGCTGGTAGTTTGTTAATAAGTCCTCAGGAAGTTTTCAGGTTCAGATATGTCAGTATTAATTGGTCATGAGAAATTAACCGCAGACCAAAACAGATTGAGTGATTAAGATTACGATATACTTTATTTATCGCATGAGAGAAATTCACTTTTACACTCTGTTGTTGAACATGCTGAACACACACAGACTGAAACAAACAGGATCCTATGGACATGCACTAAAGGAGAGACGTCAGAGTGAGGGGCTCAGCATCACACAGCGAGCGCTCCTGAGCTGGTGGGGAGTTCAGTGCCTTGCTCAAGGGCACCTCGGCAGAGCTCAGGAAGTGAACTGGCACCTCTCCAGCTACCAGACCGATTTGAAGACTTGAGACTTGAACTGGTTCCCAACCCAGGTCCCTGCAGACTGAGCTACTGCTGCCCCTGTTATCTCACCCTCTCTGGAAGGGCTGTGAGCCAAGCTGTCGCTGAATTTAATTCAGCTAAAATTCAGCCTTTTTCCTTCACCTTTTTGACGTTATGGTTAGGAACTAAGGTGATGGGACTCAAAGCACTAAAAAATAACTCAGCTTGAGATATTTAAATGACAAACAGACACCTGGTGCTAATCAAAAACTCTAATAAATGTGTATCTAATGTTTAGAAAAACACTGAAAAAGACTCATATAGGCTGATATTGGGGAAAAGAAGCTATAATCAAAGCTCTGTGCTTTAAAGCTAAAACCATTGGGTTCACAGGTTCAGATTTAATTATTATATCAACATCTGAGGCCTCCCACCTCACAAAGACCTTATATATATATACCCCTCTAATACAGGATGTAAAAGCAGCAAAAAACAAGAAAACAAAGACCCACACACCCTGACTGTTTGCTCCTGCTCCAGACGTCAGGTGATGACTGTTATGAAAGAGATTATTATGCAACCAGCAGGAGCCCTCTTACCCTCCTCTCTGTCCTCCGCCACAAAGAGCTTCATTCAGGGGCCACTGGGGCTGGCAGTCACCCTCCGATAAGCTCGGCTCCAGGGCCCCAGGGTGCCCTGTTCACTTTCCCACCACTGGCTGAGGACAGAGGCGAGAGACAGTAGAGGAGGAGGTGCCGCCAGGTTTATTTCTGGACTTTTTGTCTTTTTTGAAAACAAGTTGTAATCATTTATAAAGTTGTAACAACGTTCTCTAATTAATGTTCGACTAAAGAATAACTGAGGTATTTATTACCGCACAGCTCAGTGTTTTGGGTCATTCCTGGGTCACTGAGTAAATGTTTTCACAAGAGCAGAGGAGGCTGTGGTACAGAGAGAACATCCAGAAGAGTGACCATTGTTTTTGTGTTGTTTCAGAAGCAATATGCTAATTTATACTTACCTTTATATATATTCTCTCTCTCTCCCTCAAGGACACACACTCACAAACCGACCACCAACCCCAACCCGTCCAAATATGCGCAGAAGTTTGGAGGTTCGGAGAAATGTGCCCGATGTGGAGACTCTGTCTACGCGGCTGAGAAGATCATGGGGGCGGGCAAGGTGAGCGTTTAAACCATCGACTACACTCTGTTAAAACTATCACATTGTTTCTCCAAATTTAATTCAACGATTAAAGATACGACCAGTATTCACCAGCAATGAAAGAAGCATTCAAGGGACATTTTTGGTGAAAGAAGAAATACTACAGCACAAAAAAACTCCATTACAAGGTTTAGTTTTGCACTCAAAATGAAAAACTACAGATTTTTTCCTGCCACAAAATCAACATTGAGTATTAAAGTAATGGCACGATGGCTCCCATCAGTGTCTTATTATGAGATTCACTTTGATCAATGTATCTGCAAGCAGAACTGTAGCTTTGTGGTCGGGGGGTTTGATCCCCAGCTATTGCTCCTGTCACATGTCGAAGACTTCATGGCCAAGATGCCGAATCCCATATTCATCCCTCGGCTACGGCATGAATTGATTATTCTCATCTTAACGTTGCACTTTAATGAATCTTTTATGAGTGTTCATCTCTATCTGAAGGGTGAAACAAAAAGCTTTGTGTGCAGGATAGAAACACACACAGCTCATCAATCTGTCCAGACGGCGGCCAAGTGGACCATTTAGCTTTCACTGGTCGAGCCAAGTTGCAAAAATGATGACTCTAGGCTTGAGTGAGAATCAATCTGTTGTCATGACAACACTAACAGAGTGTGTACAAATAGGCTGCGTTTGGGAATCTGGTCTGATGCGACGGCATTAAAGAATGTGCTTCTGCTGCTCTTTCCTGCTGATGAACTGCACGTGTTGCTCAATGTTTAAGATGTAACGTTGGCTTCACAGGGTTATAACCGACCTTTAATAGGAATGCACCAAAACTGAGGCTAATGAGTTAATCTCTTAAATAGTGTGATCAGGTAATCTAACAATTGAGATAGCAGTCTGCAAATCTGTTTAGCTCCATGCTTCTGTCAAAGGCATTCTGGGTCATTTTGCAGGAAGAAAAAACGAGGGAGCTAAAGTCTCAGCTCTCTGGAGGGATTTTGTGATTGCTATGACACTTGGTAATTTATGCAGTTTGTTGTTTTGACCAGATGTAAGGGCAAAGCTCCTTTTGTAAGTGATTGAATTTTGGCCTCAAGAGAAGGGGAGTTCAAATATCTTGAGGTCCTGTTTATATGTCAGGATAAAAACTCTTGTGTAATCGAAAGACTGATTGGTATTATGCAGATTTTTATACCAAACTGTTGTGGTGAGGAGGCAGTTTAGAAGAAAAGCTGATCTCTATCCCAATCCTGACCCGTGGTCATGAGATGTGAGTAGTGAACGAATGAATAAGCTCGCTGATACAAACAAATGTGTTTCCACGGTTGTGTTGTTGGCTTAGAATTAAATTTACTGCACAAACTGATGGCAGAGACTGACACAACGCTGTAGTAAACCTGACATGGCATTGGGCTAACAGGAAGCAGCAACAACTGTCAGGTTTTCAAATTAAAAGTTTTAAACAATAGTGTAAGAATTGAACTTTTGATCAAACTCTATAGTAGGAGCTGTTCCATCTCGTCTGAACGTCGTCATGGAGACGGTTTGTAAACACTTCTCACAGTTCAGTCTGAATGTTTTCAAAGTGAACTGTACGAGCTGAGAAGGTTTAAAGCGCCCAAACATCTTTCGGCCCCGCCAGTCCGATATCCGATACATAGATTACGTCAATATCGGACCCGGGACGGATATTAGATCAGATCGGTCCCATCTCTAATAGTGATGACTTCAGGAGCATTTCGGGGTTCAGTGTCTTGCCCAAGGACCGTTTGAAACAGGGGCAGCTGGTACCTTGTTCTCTCCAGGGTGGGCAGATTCGTTACTTGATACCCAAACCCTGATATTGGGTCTTAAAAGTCATGCTGAGTCTTTAGCATTAAGCTTTTAAAAAAATCATGCTGAGTCTTTAGCTTTAAACTTGCCCTGAGAAAAATGAAGCATATTTTGTCCCTTAAACCGCCCCAGAACCACGATGTGCATCACAAACCACAGGAGTGAAACATGTCTGAGCAGATTGAACACACATGCCTTTAACAGTCCTGAACCACATGCAGGAGGTTCTGGTGTGGTCGCTCCTAATGACAGAACCCAAATCCTGTTCTTGTGATTGAACCCAGTCCATACAGTTTGGATGCTGGCTTCCTAACAGCTGCCTCTAATCGTCTGGACACTGCGCTCTCTGCCAGATGTTGTTGACACGCAGATTTAGAGCAGATGAAGTCATGAAACTTTCACTCCAGAGTTAAAACAAAAAAAAGTCAGGATGTTTAGTTCGACGGGATAAAAACCCAATGAAACCCAGCGTGAGGACTCATAAAAACCTCTCCGCAGAGGAGCACAGATTTTCTGTTTCCTGTAGGAAAAGTGAGTGAACAATTTCAGAGGATTCATGCATGAGCTGATTTACAGCAGGTGATGTCATGAGCTGTTAGCGTGTTTCCCCAACGGGAGGAAATCTGAAGCATAACCTGTAATTTCCCTTTAATGAAGATATTCTTAGCTGCTTTGATGGAGTTAATGAAGGAAATCATGACACACGTGTTTTATGAACAACCTGCAATTATCAACTTTAAATAACCATAAACACAATATATTTTTTCAAACCTGACTTGAGTTTTGTTTTAATGCTGTAAAACATAAAGGTCACATTTTATCCTCCTTTTGGACCAGTTTAAAGGAAGAGTGTGCGACAGTTTACACATAAATACAGCAGAAATCAAAGTCTATCCTCTGTAAATATCTCAGTCATGACTGTCTACAATGAGTGAGAAGCTCGAGTCCTGCCAGCTGTGTTGTTGTCAGAGCTGTGTTTACATCATGTTTACATGGACGTCCCGTCCTGTGTATAAAGCTGTTTGAGTCAAGAACTAGAGAAAAGAAGAATAACATACTCACTGATTATTTGGATGTCACTGAAATGATGTCTTCTTTCTCCTAGCCGTGGCATAAGAACTGCTTCCGCTGTGCAAAATGTGGCAAGAGCCTGGAGTCGACCACTCAGACTGAGAAAGACGGAGAAATCTACTGCAAAGGTGAGTTAATTGTCTGAGACAAAATCTACATAAACTACATACTGTGCGCCTGTGATGTTTGATTTCAGCATCACAACACAATATTTCTGTAACAACTTAAGTAATTAAGTCATGATGTAGATTTCAAAGACAGACAGGAATAAAACAAAGTCAGATGAAAAGCTGCTTTATTCATCAGACGTTTAAACTCACGCTGCATTACTCTCAATGCGTGAGGGATTGCTGCACAGTTATCCAACAGCAAAAAATGTTTTCACTAGAATGTGTTGGGCCTTTACTACGACATTTGCACAAAAATTGGTTGGATATCTGGAGTGCATAGCCTCTCTGAGTGACAGGTGCTTCTCGCTAGATGTCTACTAACTAACTAGGGCTGCACAATTAACTTGTCCTTCCCAAGATCAAAGAAACAGGATTGATGGTGAATATTTACATTTCAAATTGCGTGCTCCTTCCATAAAAACAATGTTGTCGCCTTTTGATTGTATTTCAAGATATCCATGACTCTGTTTAAATTATGGGTCATGTTTGGCCACTTGTGAGGGACCAGTGTGAGCCAAAAATGCTAGGACAGATTTTACAGCCTTAAGGGGGCTCTCACAATCCCCTGTGGTCTAAATGAAACATCTGTGCTGTGCTTTGGTCAAAATATAACATGAATCAAACACCAGAGGAGGTTGGTGACCCTGTATAAACCAGCTCTCTCAGAACGCTCCGTTTGGTGTGTGTGTCTCTTTAAATGCAATGAGCCCCCCCCCTTATCCTTCGCTAGTGAGAATAAAAATGGGGACCTGCTCAAAAGTTTTGTTCTAGGCTGGGGGTGGAGTCCATGGGTGGAGATATCAGGAGAGGGGAGGCTTTTTTTTTTTTTTTTACCAGAATCCCACTTTGACATCACAAGGAGAGCACATTTGAAACAGAGCACTTATCTCTGTGTTGCAAGACTTATGCAGACCACAAACAAAGGACTGGATGGGTTTATTTCACATTTTGTGGGTCAGTAGACTCTCAGGTTACCCAAATATGTTCAAAAACACTGTACAAGTCGTTAATATGTCTCCTTTAAAAGCACATTTATAGAAAAGGGGTGACTTGCTGCAGCAGCAACGTTTATCCCTGCAGGTTCACCGATTGCAAAACACTCACGAGTTCACCTGTTGGATTTATGATTTACTGTCTTATGATTCAGTCAGGTCAAAATATACAGCTGCTGAGCCCAGACTGTCTGCACTGTTAGTAATTATGACATCACTGATGGCGCCTGCTCTTAAAACTGAGTAAGCAGCTATTCACAAGCATTGATGATTTGTGAGTTTTAAAGAGTTGTACAGGGAGCAGCTGTCGCAGTGAGGTCACCGCTGTCAGCTGATGAGATCATGTAGGCACAAGCTGAGCTGCTTGGTCTGGCTCTTATGCAACAGCCTTTTCAAACTAAACACACACACTGTTGTACTCACTGGGGTCGCAGATAATTAGTGTGTGTGTGTGGTGTCAGTGTTGGTCGTCAGTGGTCTGGTCAAACAAACAGAGCTGCTTACTGTCCCCCTGACTGTGGAAACGGGGTCATAAGCACAATATGATTCAACAGAACACATGCAGATGTCCACAGATGGATATTAGCTGTGAGTTTGATAAGGAGGAATTTTTCACCTGAGCATCCAACAATGCCATCCATCTGTGGATTTATCTCACATGGCTCTCTGTCTTCTTCCGGAGACATCCTGGGCTGCAGACCGGAGATTTCGCTCTTGTTTAAGAAAAGCAAAAATCTATTTCCAACTTGTTTTGAACACAATCCAGGAGCCAAATGGTCTGAAACTCTTCACCTGGTTGTTTGATCACAACCTGAGCTGTGAGCTTCTTTTTTTAAACTTAACATGCTGATGTGCGCACACACATACACACACACACACACACACACACACACACACACACACAGGTGTTTACTATCCTGGTTTATTAGTCAGGTTGAAGGTGATCAAAACTGTGCTGGATTATCATGTAAAATGTTATTCAGCCTTTAAATCATTTTCACTCGATGTTGTATGAAAATCAGTTGTTGACATTAATGTAGCTGCTACTTTCAGCTCCTTTTCCACCATGCGCTCTGTTTTAGTACGGTACCTATTAAAAACTATTTGAGCAGTAATGTAAGGGAGCAAGTTTTACAACTTGATCTGCAGCTTGTTTACGAGTTTTTCTTCTCTCTCCATCTTTCTCTGCAGCGTGCTACGCCAAGAACTTCGGGCCCAAAGGATTCGGATACGGCCAGGGAGCCGGCGCTCTTGTTCACGCTCAGTGATGGACCAACTGGATTTTTTTTTCTGAACAGACAGTCACACCTTCATATGTTTTCTCTTTCCTACATGAACATTAAACTCTTAATGTCTCGTCTTTTTTTTTCTCTTTCAGAATGCTTTTATGTTTTAATAGGTGTTTGTGATACAAATAAAGAGATGAAACCACAAGTTCACATTTGACTGTATTTTATTATTAAAGCCATTAAAACTGAACCATGCCCATATGTTTACATCTGAAGCGGAGTAACAGTGATGTCTGGAGGTGGGCAGAGAGGCACTGGAAATGATAATGTGCTTTTTATCCTTTTTATTTGATTTTATGATGAGAGGGGAGACAGAACAGAGACTTTTTTAAGGGCTGCTGGAAGAACTAGTGAGGACTGAAAATGGCTTTGAGTTCATGTCCTGGTTGAGCTTGAGTGCTGAAATCTGCCCTAAAAAAACACAAAAAAACCCTCGTCCAATCACCTTGAAGGCATTATTACAACACAAGGAGTTAGTCACGGGTACTGATATGATATCTACAACCAAGTAAAAACCTTTGACCTCCAAAAGAGGAGCTGCTGTTTTTTGTGTTTTTAGGGCAGAAATGACATCAGTGGTTCGTTTTGTGAGTCTGGGGGAATGATCGGTGAAATGACGACATAACCGTCCTCTTCTGATGATGCAAACATGAGGCCCAAAAAGTTTTCCGGAGGCCTTTTAAATGTAATATAACCTCCGTCTATCCTTAAAACTATTGCATGATCACATTTCAGCTTTTAGAAAACCAAAAAAAAAAAAAAAAAAAGAAGTCGGCATCTGCCTTAGTTCTCTAGTGTCTTTGCTTTACAATTTGTACATCCAGTGGTATAACAAACCCAGCGGTATATGACATAGAAATAAAAAAAACAAAACCCTTTATGATGACTACAGAGTCCACAAGCATGAAACATTCAGATATATTACACACTTGCACAGGACGGTGAGATCAGCCGCCCTGAAAGAAAGAACTTCCACTAAACACTGGATTTGAGGGAAGGAAACTCAACTTTAATTTAAAAAACAAAACAAAAAAAACAACGGACAAATGAACAGAAAAAGTACTTGCAAATACTTAACATTCACTATATACAAACACGTGGCTTGCCGGGCTGTCACCATGGTGATGAAAACGGGTTTGACGGGGGGGGATATACAGCGAGAGCCCAGCTGTCCCAAGCATCGTACATGCAGTGGAGTTTCCTGGCAGGGGCGAGGGGGGGGTTAAGGTTAAAATGCCTATAGACAGCAGTGTCGGACATCACTAAAAGCTACAGTCATACACTTGGAGTATAGTCACTTGGTTTTCTTCTTGGCGTTTCGCTTGGAAGAAAACCCCCAAACTCAAAAAAAAAAAAAAAAAGAAAAAAAAAATGAAGTTTTGTCAAGGAAGGAGCACCTCGGGGCTAACACTGACGAAAAGAAAAACATTACAGAGAAATATATTGTTTATGTACAGATGCACATTCTTTACACTTCAGTCCATCCTGCTGCTGCTAATGCTAACGTGGAGCCGACTGCACAGGGGGGGGGGAGGGGATGGATGTGAGAGGTCCAGATAGGGAGTGATGGAGTCGGCCATGTTTGATAGGCCCCTCCTCCTCCTCCTCTTCCTCTCTGTCAACAAACGGGAGAGTCGGCGTGCTGAGCCGTGTGTTCAGAAACGGCCAAAAAAAACAACACAACAACAAAACAAACTAAAAATCAGTGCAATGTTGTAGGCAGACAAAAGACAAAACATATAAGACTTTACAGCTTGTTGAGAGAAACACATGGAATGACCTGTCCTTGTAAACTCGTCTGTCCATTCTTCTTCTCTTTAAACTCTGCTGTTAATAAATACACTCACTGTACCTGCACCGCAGTCAAGGTCCCGGGCTTCTTCCACCTCAAACAGCTACAGGTACTCGTTCCATTTTTTTTTTTTCTCATAAAAACCTACTCAGCTAAAAATGGTGTGAAATGTAAAAATGATGGCGCTAGCACATAATTACTTTGTCTATAAATAGTTTTAAAATAAATATACCTGTATCACATTGTCTGTAGGATATTTTCTGTCACGTATACACGGTGGTCGCCGCTGGAGGAGTCGGAGTTCTCGTGCTTCGCCCTGCGTTTATACTGCATTACAACTGTTTTTTTTTGTTTTGTTATTTTTTCCTTGCAAAAATGTTATCTTCTGTGGTCGCAGCTTCTCGTCAGCAGGTGAGAACTTTTGGACTCCTCCAGCAGCTCCAACATTTTTCCTCTCTGATAAGTTCAACTAATGTTGGCGGATCCTCATCAGCTCGAGTCGAAACTCATCACGGTGCAAAATCAAGACCCTTAAAAAGACATTCCCTTATCTCGATCACACTTAGAAAAAAACTCATGGTTTTAAAAAAAACAAATCCTTCAGCCTCGCTGGCCACTACGGGTAAATCTCACAGGAACAGCAAAGTTCCTGAACCAATCAGAAACCAAAGAAATACACACAGGGCACATCAACGGGGACACCATAAATAAGGATAATATATAAGGGAAAGGAGAAAGAATGATACTGCCACTTTAAGGTGCCGCTCTCTTGACGGCGTCACGTTTGAAAATCCTCTCGCTCGCCCTCTCTCCTCTCCGCTCGTGCCTGGCAGCATCGCACCGTCCAAAGGGCTCGGGAGAAGAGACGAGGCGAGGGGTCAGAAAGCAGCGGAGGTACAGTAATGAAGTCCCAAGTTGTAGAATAGTAGTAGTAGTAGTAATAGTAGTAAAGTTGTTGGTTTTTGGGGGCGGAGTCAGAGGCGGGTAGTAGGTGTGGTGTCGCCCCGTTACAGCATGCTAGTCCTGGCTGATTTTTTTTTTCCAGTCTTTTGATCGGTGAGGGAGAGATGGTCCAAAAAAAGCAAGCGCTCCCGAGAACAGCATCGCTCTGATATGAACGCCATGTGGGGGGTGGGGTGGGGGTGCAGGGAGCGGGGATCCATTCAAACTTCCTTCCACACAGCGACACTCGACTCCCCCCCTGCTCCTCTGCCCCCTCTTTCCTCCTCCTCTTCTTCTTTGTCGTCTTCTTCCTCTACACCAGCTGGTAGCCCGAGCCAGACGTCTGGTCGTATTCCACTGTGTACTGCGTGGTCCAGTCCACCGCCACGGGCCGCATCAGGCCGCAGCAGCGGATCTCGAAGAAATCGATGAGGTTTCTGAAGCAGCCGTGGCTGAAAAGTGACAAAGACGGAGATAAGAATTTAGACTTTGATCATACAATATATATTTTTTTTTTTTTTACTGTAAACATTTCTTAACCAGTGTTTTTAAAAATGAAACGTTTCCAGAGCATGTTTCACTTTCTGTAGATAACGTCTTTAAAACCACAGCGGAGCCACAGACGATTTTCAGCCATCATCGGTGAGATCACTTCAAACAATGGTTCATCATCTTCATCATTTTACAGACTTATTATAAAACTAAACTCAACTGAAGAAACCAACAACAAAAAAGGACAAAAAGAATCTCCTATGATCTTCTTATCTATTTATAAAATCATGAAAAGTATAAAACACACAAGTAAGCATCAAGGTTGGAAATTATCACCCGTCACCCGGTCAAATAAGGTCGTTTTTTTTTGCAACTTACCGGGTGGTCACAGTGAAAGTGGCGTAACAGAGTGATTTCTATCAACAAACATCTTCAAATGAATGCCAGATTCCTGCTTGTTCCGCTCTGATTTCATGCTTTTAAAACAACAAATTAATCATCCGGCCTCTCAGTCGAGGTTCATTTGTAGCTCAATCAGCTAAGTGAGTTAGCCTCTGAGGACGTGGTTACCATGGAGACTCCTAAAAGTAACTAAAAACTAAAATATTTAAAATAAACTTTTTCTGTTTCTGAGCGAGAAAAGAGACTTCTCTTTAATAGTTGAAACATTTCGCAAACCATGAAACAAGATTGAAGGCGTAACTATGGCGCCCTGAAACAGCAGTCTGAAGAGGATTAAGTGACAACACTGTGTTTTTACTTGGTTGCATCACAACAGTTTGTTTTTCTGAAACAGCTGAAATACTGAGACGTAGTTCTGACTTCAGTTTATAAAAAAAAAGAGGAGATAACTTACTTGAAGGGGCTTTCGATGGACGTGGCTGTGACTTTAAAGTGCTTGTATCTCCGAGCGTTCATCCTTTCATTGGTGGTGATTCCCAGAGCTGCGATCTGAGAAACATTCAAGGAAAGCAAACAGATATAAAGAAGAGATTCAAATCCTCCTTAAGAGGGGGATCATGTGTGGATCTTATATTATAAAGACAAAAACTAAAGTTATCATTGTGTTTCTGTAAGTTATGTGCACACCTGGTAGAGCTGACACATGATGAGCACGGCCACCCACATGAAGTGGAAAATGCTGTTGAGGAACATCCAGAACATCCAGGGAGAGCAGGAGGCGATCTGGGTCAGGTAGAGCCAGAAACCGTCCTTCGCATAACTGGTGGCACAGTGGATCCTCCAGTCTGAGAGAGAGAGAGAGAGAGAGAGAGAGAGAGAGAGAGAGAGAGAGAGAGAGTGAATCAGCTGGGCATACAGGATAAGTGATGAGAAAAACAGGAGAAGGATGATGTTTGTTTTTTACTCACAGGAAATGCAGCCGTAGATCATCCAGCAGATCATGCAGAGCAGGAAGAAGAGATAACCCATGAAGTAACGATGGTTCCCACTTCCTGTAGAGGAGAAACAACAGAGTCAGATGAGATAAAAGAAAACACCTCTCTTGGATGTTTGGCATGTGATGTCTTCAGTCTCATTAGCACCACACACAAATGATAGCTGATGATGATGATCAATTTCAATTTTAGAAAAAAGAAAAGAGGAGATTTCCTTTCTCTCAGGTCCATCATGTATAAATCAGAAATAGAAAAAGTTCTCAATACAGCGCAGAAACTCAGAGAAGCTGAAAGTTTAACAGATGACAAAGACAGGAAACATACTGTACTACAACCTGATCAACAAATTAAATATATTCTAAAGGAGGACATGAAGTACAAAGAACTCGACTGCACTGAGATTATTAAATCATCGGAGGAGCTTTTCTAATCTCTTTCCAGGACTCTGTAGTGAAGAGGTGTGTTGGTCTGTTTGTTCAGATAGTTTCTATAGTTTCAAAGCTTCCTTCTGAGTTTTCCTGACCAGCTGCCTCCCCACCATCTCCTGTCTGCTTCAGACATCCTCTTACAGACTACACACACGCACACTTGCTTCCTGCACAACATATTTTTCCTTCTCTGTGTTTCCTTCATCCTCCAGTGTGTTGTGTTTCTGTCATTCCACATAAAGAAAGCTTCTGATGACACACATTTGTTTGGTGCACGTGTTTATCACATACCGACACAGTTGCCCACCCAGGGACAGTGGTGGTCGAACTTTGCGATGCAGCGGTTACACACTGCGCAGTGTTTGGACCTGATGGGCTTCCGTATCTGCAGAAAGAGTTGTTATTTATGCAATGATCTTCAGAGTCTAATGTGTGTGTGTGTGTGTGTGTGTGTGTGTGTGTTGTGAGATAGAAGTCAGATTTTTTACCAAGCAGGTGCTGCAGAATATGCTCAGATCCAGGCTGCCTGTCTCTGCCAGCTCCACAATCGTCTGTCGGGAGGAAACACAAAAAAACAAAAAACAAGATTTAAAAAACAAACAAACAAGAGAAGCAGACTGAGACATGGCAGAAAAATGAATGAACACAGAAAATCATCTTGCCAAGGTCTATTTGGCGCTGACACAATAGACCTACTGACAGTGAACAGGCCGAGGATGGAGCCTCCAGCAGAGTGAACATGCAGGACTGATGCTCGGCTGATTTACAAGCTGCGATGGGATTTAACTATTCAGATTTTAAGGTAAAATACCTTTTACACAGGTTTTGGTTTTTATCTCATCTTCACAATGAACATTTTCCCCTTCTGTTTTTTTTTTTTTTTTTTTTTTTTTTTTTTTTTAAATCAGCCTGCTTCAAAGCTTAGCTTGACAAAAAACTTGACGTTTAACAATCCTAAACAAACTATTGAGAGGAGAACAAGAGGTGGAAGAGGAGAGGAAAGCTCTGAGGCCTTTGATGTGAGGCGGCTGCCCGGCTTTGACAGCAGTGAGTGCTGCGCTAACAATGTAGGCTAAATTTAGCTCCTCATCAATCAGAGGCCTGGTGAAGAAGAAGAGCCTCCGCTGTGCTCCAATACAGTGTGAGAACGAGAGGCCGAGAGGAGAGAGGGGCGAGAGAGGGCAGCGGGCCAGAGTCAACCACGGAGCACCCGCCATGTTGGAAATTATCCAACATGGCGTGTCTGTGTGTGTGTGTGTGTGTATGTTTGTGTGTGCGGGTGAAAACATGTACAGCATGATAGATCTGAAGTCATATTTGAACGCGGTCACCTTTTTCTTCTGCTCCTCTGACGCTTTGATGATTCCCGGGTCAGACTTCCAGGATTTGCCGAAGTTGTAGAAGAGAGCCAGCGTGTTGATCAGGAAGGGGACGTGGACGGTGGCGAAGGGGAGATGTGCAGCGCGGTTAAGGAAGAAGGCAGTTCTTGTTTTTTTTTTCTCTGGCTTGTTTTTGTTTGTCACTCTAAATACAGAGACACAAACAGCTTTGTTTTTCTTTCACCACAATTCAATGACATCCCTCTAACCACACAGATGACTCCCAGGACAAAGCACCATGTGACCACATCTCTGTCCAAACAGTCTTTTAAAGATCTCAAAATAATAAAACACATCTGTCTGCTTTCTTGCCCAAAGATAAACAAGAAGATAACACTCTTTTTATGCGTGCTTTATATGAAACAGTCGCTATCTTGGTTTTCCAACTGCTTTTTCCTGCTGGTCGCTACGGAGACGGTTGACTCAGGCAACCAAGGCATTACCAAACCCTCAACACCTGATTGTTTCAAGTTGCCTCAAAAGATCCTGTCGTAACAAATCATTTGAAATGTAAAACATGTAGATATGAGACAAAAAAAGGCAGTCCAGAAATCAGGAACATCTGGCTCCACAAGTTGTCAGAGAATTCATTTCCATGATACTCTAATAAATGAGATTCTTAATCTGTATGAGGTTTCTCCTGGTTAAATATATTTTAAATAAAAAAATGATTTTGTTCCCTAGGTTTTCTTCACCGTCAGACTCATTCACTGATGGTCGTCTTAAACACATAGGTAACTGCAAAAAGAGCCGACACAGCTAATCCAGCATACTGCAAATGGAGCTATGGGACAGAATATTTTCACATATCAGCTGGGAAAAAAACTACAGCTGACGAAATCACATTTACTCAATGTTCCCTGTTTACATTTTCAAAGCAGAGGAAATGTCACATAAAGCAAACAGAGCAGTGGGACAGAATGCCTGGTTCTGTCCGCTCAGGAATGATTCTATGTAGAAACAGAGTCAGGTTTTCTTGCTTCACCAGCTACCACGGTGCATGAAGAGAGAAAGGCTTTAAGAGGTCAAAAAGCTGCAGCAACACTTGTAGTACAAAGATCAACTTTATCAACTGGTGTGTTCTGGCTTGAGGCCTTCTGATGACCTCCCCAAGAATTATTCAATGAAATAATCAAATGTTCTTCTATAAAGTGATATTAAGTTATGAAGCTTGTTGGATAATGGAGTAACATATTAAGACATTACGTTGATTAGCCTAGTGTCTCTGAGACCCGGCCCTGAAATACTCGACCAGAAATGGCAACAAAACAAACAATAAACAATTAAACAACTTAAAGCTGATGTGTATAAAAGACGTGTCTGCTCAGTCACTACAATCCCATCAGTGTGAGTCAGATTTTCACTTCATGGTAACGTGACAGAGAGAGACGTTGTGACGCAGGGAGCAGCTCACTGTCATCACGGCTCACACAGTACGACGAGGATCATTTCACAACAGCTCATCATGACTTCATCTCATGAACAAACAATAACAACACACACAGCTGTCCCAGAGAAGACAGAGTTTGAGCGAGTTAGTCCTGCAGGTGTGCATCATGAGTCATCTGAAACTGGAAAGCAGCAGAGTGACACAGAGAGAGGCAGACAGTGTACGGCTCCACACCGTGTGCTGATGTCAAGTAGGACCGAATCATCACTGCAGGTCAGAAACTAACGACTCACAACGCTGGTAAGTGAGACTTTGCTGTCGGTGCTGTTGGCTCAAGCAGCTCAATAAGTTTTGACATTTTATTGCTTATTGTTTATCACCAGAGACTCTTGTTTCTGCTTTTTATGACGTTGTATGTTGTCAAATGTGAAGTGTCAAACCTGCTACAACATCAACAAAGGACTTCAGTGCTACAAGTCTGTTTGAATGTTAGTCACTTCTAGCAGATATAATGCTGCATTCAGGGGCTCTTCGATGGTCCCAGTTTAAGAGTTGGGAGGGCGTTCTTCCGACTTCAGTGTGTTTACGTGCTTTCAGTTCGCAAAGTGGGAATGTTATAACAACAACAAAAAAACAGAGTGGACGCTACAAAGAAGTTGTGTGGAAAGACTCTGTTACAAGTTATATTTGAGCAAAAAGTTAACATGATTTAGTTAATGAAAGTATCTTAATTGTTTCCATTGTTCCCACTTGAGCAGGTGTTCATGAACATTTCATAACATTTGGAAATGTGTTTTTCTGATGTGACCAACTCCACATGAATGCAGGGAGAGTCACATATAAAATGCACCAACATGACCCCCACAGCCTTGTGGTCATCCAGCATCACTGTCATGACTCCACTGATGAGTACCTTCCTCACACTGACAGAATGATAAGAGGCCTCTACACGTCTGAAGAACAAACGATACCACCGATCTTCAGAAGTATCTCCAGAAAAAGCAGGGTCTCCACATCAACCCCTCCTGAAATGACCTGCTAAGTAGAAAAACTCCCCAGAGCATCTCATTGGTCTATTAACTTAGTGACCCGAGGAGACGCAGAGGTGGATCAAGTTATCGATTAAGGCCTCAGACAAACGGGCTGCAAATCATCACCTCCGTGTTCACAGCAGTTTATCTTGTAAAGGTTTCACTCACAGCTGAAGGCAGAGGCCCAACAGGAGGGTCAGAGGCAGACTGTATAAAACATGGACGTAGTCTCAGTGATGTCACCCTCTTATGCTGCAGTCAAACTACATGATCTTGTTTGTCCTGTTACAATGGTCACTGTCAGATTAGGGATCACAGAGTCACAAACATGACAGACTACACGGTGGTACCCGACCAATCGTCTGGACCGACCTGATGACCTTGGAAGGAGAGAGGGACTGGGTTAGGGGACGACAGGAAAGAAGACCGTCAACAAACAAAAAAAGCCTTGTTGTAGCCAGAGCTCGACAAACTTTTCTCAGTCTCATAGTTCCATCTAAACAACTTCATCATTCTCCTTTTGCTTCTCCTTTATGTAAGTTGATGTTTGTGACTTTTGCATTCTGTACTCTCATTGGACGATGCTAAAGACGTGAAAGAACACATTGTAGAAGGAAGATCAAAATTCAAACAAGCTAGACTTTCAGTCGGGAGTTGTGAGGCATCCCAGATGTGGCCTTGATTGTTGTTTATGATGACACACTACATGAGAATTAAAACATCAGACAAAACCCCACCACTGCTAAATCAGGCTATAATCCTGTTTATAACGTGTTGTATGACCTCGGCATTAGCCATCATATAATCAAAACATTTGTGTTATAAAACAAACATCCCCCCTACAGTTTTTACAAATACAGAAATGAGCTGTAGACGCCCAAATTGTTTCTTAATATGAAGTTTGATGGGGATTTCTCAGCGTTTGCCAGTTATTATATATTTTCAATCTGGTATTTTGTTGTTGAAAAGCTCAAAGTTTTGCCCTGACCTCTTTCACTCTGGCTTCATCTTTCTTGTGAGACATTTACCTGCTGGAAGAAGCGTTTAGGAGCGGAGACTACAGATTGAAAAACTGTGATCCCCGTCTGGAAAAGAGACAAAGTACCGTCACACGGCTCCACCCTTCATCATCCGATCTGATCTCAGGCCTGAGGAGGAGACTGAGCTCACAAAGGCAGAAAGTGGGTCAGAACTGGTGGATAACAAAGAGGTGCTGAAAACTGTTATCTCACATATCCTTCTACACACTGTTAAACGTTTGGTTTATGGTATTCAATAAAAGCTTAACAACAAATTAAACTCTCTTTCATTTCAGCAGACGATCATGTCAGGACTTTTTTAAACCAGATGTTGGAATCTTGGAAATAAAAGGTTTTATATTCTTCACTTCAAATCCAACTCAATAAATGTTCACTCACATTGCTGGAGCTCAACCAGAGACCCTCAGCAGTGCACAGTTTATGTGCTGACGGGTCAGAGAGACTCAAATGATGCTTCTCCAAAGAATACAAAGCAGAACATAAGACGAGGTTAAAAACATCATTACTCTTCAACCAAACACCTCCAGCTCCTCTCGACAGATTTGAACAAATATCCAGAAGGTGAGTGGAAGAAAATGAAAAATGAACATGTGTCCTTTCACTACTTTTAGAGTTTGGCACATCAATGCAAACAGGTGGAGTTTATTCTAAAGCCGATTCTCTTTCAAAGAGAAGGAGGATGGGGCGCTGGTGGCGCAGTGGTTAGTGCGCTAGCCCCATGTACGGATGCTACAGTCGTCCGAGTGGGCGGACCAGGTTTGACTCCGACCTGCGACGTTTCCTACATGTCATTCCCCACTCTCTCTCTCCCCCTGATTTCTGACTCTATCCACTGTCCTGTCTCTCCAATAAAGGCAAAGAAAAGCCCAAATATCAAAAATAAAAATCTTTAAAAAAAAGAGGAGGATGCATGATGATTTAAAATGGGATTATATTTGACACTAACATGTCTCATTCATTCATTTGAGAAAGGGGCATTGCTCCTCATCACTGCATTCCCCTCGGGGGGAACACTGCCTCTGTACATGGGGCACGCCCAATAACCACCACACCACTGATGCATTTCCCATCAGTTACAAAGCTGAATCTGAACAAAGTGAATAAAGGCCGTTTCAAATAATAATTACTTCACAGCAGGTTCAACTTCATCTCAGCTATGGCATCACTATCACTTGTTGGTAGCTGCCTCAACAGTCTCACTTGTGTTAGAGAATAGAATTTATGATTAACTCGAGTTAAAAATCAAGTACGCTACAGCGCTCCTGATGTGGAAAATCGCTTGCTTTGCATAAGTTAATGCAAATAACATGCACACGAGAGAATGCTGCTGGACAAGAACCAACTGTCACACTGACTGAGTTCACATCAGATAACGTGTGTCTGCATCGCTGCCAGGAGAGAAACTTTCCTGGTGCTGTCGGGAGCATGAAACATCGTGTCTTTCATCTCAACACAGACACACAAAAAAACCTGGAAAGAGATCGATGGCAGACGCTCGGGCTTTATGACTGACTCCAAGGCTGCAGGGCAAACGGGAAGCCTGAAAGAACTAACTGTGCTCACATGTAAAAGAGAACAGCCTAAAGTCCAAGAGGCAACTTTGGATGCATGAACAAACATTTACCACAATACAGGATGCAATGTCACCTAATCTTAGATCAATTAAGAAGAATGCTAATGCAAAAACCTGGCTCAGGCAGCAGACGTCCTTTTAGGATAGTCCTTCCTTTTTTGTTGCCTAGATGCACCAAACACCCGTAAAAACAAGCTCAAAACAAACCTCAAGCATCTTTTTTTAAAAGAATACACAGGGCAGTTTTCTTCTTCAAAAAGGCTCAGGTCAACGACATCTTTACTCTCCCTTCCCTCCCCCCATTAGAGGGGCAATGAAGCACAAAATTAAATGTCCTCCACAAACAACACCTCCCCTCTCAACTCCTGCAATTAGCAGCTTCCCAATTATTTTTCCATGAACAAAATGAAATGTGACGGCAGCCCCGCTGAGGCCAACACAAACTCTTCAGAGTCCTCTGGTTGGGTTTAAACCACAGTTTGGACGCACTAATCTCTGGTGCATCACTCGTGTTCATTTCAATGCAAAAACTTTTCTACATTCTGACTTCAACATCGATCTCTGAAGAGGTCTTGGGATGTTCTGCACTCCAGCCTGGAGTTTCTTTAACACACTCTCAGCTCACTTTTCTGTCATCTACTCTTAACTCTATCCAGTATTTCAACTTGAATCCCCTGCAACTGGCCTGTAACTCAATCTCACAGAAGTTTAATCCAGCCAACAAAAGTGCTTTCCTCGATAATCCGTCCGTCTTCTTCAATAAAAATGCTTCATCAGTACATTTATATTTTATATTTTCTTAAACAAACCAAACACATTCAGAAAAGCTTTTGGCTTATGATGCATGACTTTCTGAATGCCAACAATGAATTCCCCATTTCAAACTGTGAGTCGATGCCTCTTTTTTTCCAGTAAACAGAGACTGCCAGCTCTTGAAGCTCTGGCATACTTCACACATCAGTGGATTATAGGTGGAAACGAATAAAACAGGTGGACAGAAGAGCCCATCTATCACTCTGAGTGGCTGGAAAGAGCCTCAGAGGATTGAACTGCAGCTCGACTTGGGGAGAAATGTTGCATGCAGTGTTGGGGAATAGGTCCACATTCTTGTTCAGTTAAATTCTTGATTGTATTTGGAGTTTATTTACCATTATTCAAAGATTCCTCAAGCAAGAAACCAGCCAATTAACTTCTCTCAAACTGAAGACAGCTCTGAATCAAACTCCCAGAGGAGAAAAAAAAAAGCACTGAACTGCCAAAAGTGGTAATAAGACTTAAATGAGTTCATCCATCACACTAACTGAAGCGTAAGATGTGACATCAGGAAAACACTTAATTCTGCATGTTGGTCACACTGAAAAATCTGTTTCTTCTTACTTGGTGAATTTACTTGTTGGTCAGGAAGTTTGACTCCCTGTCGTGCCTATTGGTTGCCTGGCAACTGCTAAAAAATATGATGGTTTATATCCCTATACAATCACAATGTAGCCTGAAACATTTCCCACCATGCATATTTCTAAACAGAGAATTTAACATTTAAATAAGTGATCTTCAGAGTTGTACTCGGGTTACATCTGGACAGAGTCCACAGCAGCTTCCTGTTGTTTTCTACCTTTGTGCTAAGCTAAGCCAATCTGCAGCTGTCTGTGTGGTCATGTTTCCTGGACAGATATGAGAGAATCTTTTTATCCCACTCTCAGTGAAAACATAGACAGTTCTTTAAAGACAAATGAAGTGTGAATGGCGTCAGTCTGAGACAGTAAAGGATATCGTTCCAGAACCAGTAGAACCAGGTGGTGTACATCCAGAACTTGGTGGCCAGGTAGATCCCCAGAGGGAGAGCGCTGTGCATGGAGTGGTCGAAGAAAGCCCTGCAGAGAGAGAGAGAGAGAGAGAGAGAGAAGTTATCAGCAGAATTATCAAAATGATTATCCCTCCAGTTGATAAAAATATATTGCATATATAGTGTGCTAACATTAGCCTGCTAACACAACAATGCAGGCTTTAGGCAATTGCATCTCGAGTCAAGAACTATTTTGTCTGCCTCTTACGCTTAATGGTGCATTCTATATAATAACTCATTTGTGAGAACGCGGGGGAAGTGGGTTGGAGGTGTGTCGCTGGAGGAGAGCGGAGGCTTCAGAACGAGAGTAAGCGGAGGCATGGCCAAACAGCAGTTTGTTTTGGTTTCCTGTTGGAGAACCAGGCTGACATCTACGGGATCAAAAAGGTCACACCTTCTTCCTTTCTATGGCTACTTGTGTCTGAAAACAACTTTTACATCAGAGATCAACATGTTCCCAGTCAAAGTGGTATCTTCCACTTCTTTAGTAAAGCCTGTATTTCTGATTTACTGTCATACAAATAGTCTTGGCTCTAATTGCTGCTGTTTTTGTAAAAATATAGCAAGCTTGAATTTTAGAATCTGGCTTCCCTCCCACTGCAGATACTGCGTAGCCTGTATCATCTCCGTTTCCTACATCAAGGCATTCTTCCAGCAGATGTTAAACGTGTTCACTTCACATGTGGACAGATGCAAACCTGAGTGTTTGATCTGAACGGTTCAGTCTGGCAGCAGCAACAATAAACCAAACGTTAACCCTCAGCAGCCCTCACTGTTACAAAGTGTTATTTATCCAAGTAGTTATGTAAAGAATGTCACTAGATGTTCAGGTGACACGCTGGGTAATGTGTGTTATTGTAGTGTAGAGCTGAAGAGAACAACAAACTACACCAGCAGGACCAGATGGCTGCAGTGACGGAGTTAAAGCAGAGTGTGCAGTGTGTATGTTTAAAAGATGTTTATTTCAATGCATTGTGTGGAATGTCAGAAATGACATGTGTGTTTGCACGCAGGTATATGTGCATGTTCATCACTCAACTCATCGAGACCGTCTGTTTTTAGGAAATCGCAATCAGAGTATTATTGTGAGTTGCATGATAAGACATATACGAGATTAAATTCATTAATTGATGTGTCATAGAGACGTACTTGGAGAGGAACTGCACGGCGATCCAGACACCGGCGTACATGAGGCCCTTGATCAGCCAGGAGTCGATGTCCAGGTCAGCGATGAATCCAACGAGCCAGATGACCAGGAAGGGCGTTCCCAGCATCACCTTCTGCCTGAACTCCTGCACGAGGAGGAGGAGGAAGAGGAGGAGGAGGGAGACGGAGGGTACATCAGCAGGAGTTATAAAAAAAACAACAAGACAGGAGATACAGAGAAGAGGCGAACAAGTACTGGAGGAGACAGACCGGAACAAGAGACTTCAGACTTTTGTATCTATAAAAGGTATAAAATCCATTGATTCAAAAGTGATAGAAGTCATGGTGATTAACATCTACCTGCAGGGGGATCACCTACAGTCTTGATTTCTATTAGTCTCTAATGGAATCTAGAGTTCATGAAGTTAGTTAAAATACTCATAGTTAAAATCTACAAATGATGATTTTCTGCAATAGATGCATACGATACATTTGCAAATAGATATTTGGATGTTATGACGTCTAATTGCCTGACTATGATGAGGGATGTTTTCCTAGGGCTAGCTATACACATTTCTAGTTTACATACAAATACAAAACTGAAATCTGCTACTTTAGTTTGACTAAGATACAGAATCACTAAAAAGGAAATTTAGCAGCAATCCAACCAAGTGAGATGCCAAAAATCTACGACCGGCCTGTGAGGCTCTACCTGCTATAGAATGGGTCTGACACTGAGGGGCTCCACTAACTGTGAGACAAACCTCAGATCTACATGTAATGCTATAAATTGTCTACAATCTATTTTTCATTTGTATGAACACTTAAATCTCGATCCAACAAATAAGGAAGACTTCAGAGGTCTATTTGTATATCCCTCTAGATCAACACTTTACCTTTTTTAACTAATGACATCCCAGCAAACGAGAGGAAAGACAAAACATTAAAGTTTCAACAAATGCATTCAAGGTCTTCAATGAAAAAATTACACAAGTAGAAATATCTATACAGTCTTCCACCTGGGAAAGATGTATAAATATTGTGGTTGTGTGTCTGATGCAAAAGTTTATAGACAGCCAAAGGAATGCTTTCTTTAAGATAAAAACAAACAAACACAGGATGGGACCTCCACACTGAATCCGGTTCAAAGCTCTTGCTATAACCCTCTGTGGTCGGACCGGACTGTGCAGCAGTTATCCTGTCCCATTATTTTCCTTTAGTTGTAGTGTTAAGCCTATCGTTTACGAGTCGTCTCCTTCCTGTCAGACTGTCTGATTGCAGACTTGAGAAGCAGTAAACGGCTGTCAAAGTGACATGTTTAGACTGAAAGGCGATCTCAGCCCCCGGACATGCCGTGACATCGCTGCTGCAGTGCAAAAGTTCAGCGTGGACAGGCCTGTGTGAGCACGTCAGTGTGAGCGGTGACTGAGGGGTTTCACCGCGAGCCACACAGAGGTGTGTTTGTGTGAAAGATTAGGTGGTTACACTTGATTCTACCTTTGGACATTTCTTGAAAAGCTTCAAGGTTTACTGTACAATGTGATGTGTGTGTGTGTGTGTGTGTGTGTGTGTGTTTACCTTGTCCATCTTAAGTCTCTTCAGGTAGGACGGGCTGTCGTAGCCTTTGGCCTGCCGTGCCTCCTGTAAGTGATTGATCATCCAAACGTTCTTCCTCTGCTTGGCGAGATCTAACGGGGTTTCACCCTAAACACCAACAGAAGACCAGTCTGTATTTATCCTCCATCATTAAAATAAAAACGTGCTTGTCCATCATTCATAGGGGCAACCAGTGGATGAAACCATGACGACATGATTACCTTGATGTTCTGTGCATCGACGTTAGCATTAGCATCCAGTAGCAGGCTGATAACAGTGGTGTTACCAGCCAGTACGGCCCAGTGCAGCGCTGTGTTCTTGTGATATTTGTCGCCCAGATTGACAGAAACATTGAAGGTCAGGAGCAGCCGGGTTGGATCCACACTGTCGCCCCGAGGAGGAAAAAAAATGAGCATGATATATATGGAATTTTTGAAACTCATACACATGCTAAAGCTATATTTCACTGCTAATGATGAAATCCCTCGATTCATAGATTGATTAATCACATCACTAAAGTATAAATAGAGATGTTCCCGCTGAAAAAATAGCTCATAAGGGAAAATTCAGACAACGCTAAGCAGCACTGGGACTTGTTTCCCCGTGTAAGCAGTCTGTCTGATGAATGACCGCACATTTACACATGACAAGGTTGTTGTGTGTCTGCAGTCAGCAGAAGCATGCTCCAGCTTGTGTGAGGGTTCAGGAACGTTTTTTTTGAAGTGGCCTAATAGTCAGACTTTTTTCCTGGCATCAGTTTCTTAATTTGAGGTTGAAATTATTCTAAGTTTAGTTTCCCAGTCTCCATTCTTGTCCAGAGCAGAACAAGTCAGAGCAGCGACTCATAACAAAGCTCTAACAACAACTGTATTAACACTTAAAACGTTCACACCTGTGCGTCCTGTAAGCCGCCCACATCAGAGGAGTCATGCCGTTCTGGTCCATCATGTCCACGTCCTGTAACAAAGGAGAGATGCATTAAAAAGAGCCGAAGGAGAGTCTGAAAGAGAAGCTTTAGGGCCCCCCTGGTGGGAAGCACCGGTACTTTCAAAACACAGACTTGACCCACATTGGCAGAAAAACTTGAATGACAGAGACATCAGTAGAATGGATGTTGTTCAGATCCATAAGAAATAACAAATAAATCATGATTTCTGACCCAATCAATCTTATTCCACATCTGATGCTGTGAGAAAAGACGACTGTATGAAGGAAAGTTCTCCTGCTGATTAATCCTGCTGTGCCCTACCTGTCCTTTGGCGATTAGGTAGGCCACGATGGAGGTGTGGCCAAACTGGGCGGCCAGATGACCGCAGCTGCATCCCTCGCCGTCGATCAAAGACGGGTCTGCGCCGTATTTCATGAGCTGCACCACCATGGATAGATGGCCTTGTCTGTGAGGAGACACACACAAAACAAACTTCTAATAAATATCCTACTCCTCCGTACTTTACCAAAGACTAAACACACATATTTTAAACTGAACTGTAATATGCGCCGTTTCCTTTGAAAGGAAGTGATCAGATTTTGATTCAGCCAAGTAGTTGGTAGTTTGATTCAAAAACGCAGTAACGTACAGGAACAAATGACACCAGACTTTAAGAGGATCGGGGTCAAAAAGGCCAAAACTACTCTCACTTGATCGGCCACTTAGATGCAGAGTGGGTGAGCAGGCTAAGCTCAACAATCCAAAGATGAGGGCGTCACTTACTCCCACTCCCACTGCTTTGAACAGCGCGGCCTGCACAATAAATTAAGTAGCCTCATATATGCAGGTGTGATACTAAAAGAATGAGTCCTCGTCTTCTCTTATTGTTTAATGTTTGTCTCAGTGGTATATGAGTCAATTTATTACAGGCGTTTATTGCATGCAGTGTGTGAACATGAGCAGACAAAGCCTCTAACAGCCAGTCTTTAACTCCAGCAGGTGTCTAAATGGTCGAGAGGAAGAGGAGGCTGCGGGGGCTTTTAAAGGTTATTGGTCATCGGTGGGTGGGGGGGAAGTGGGTATGTGACACAGGACTCCTGAGTGTCTGTTAATGTCTGTTGTCAAGCTTATCAATAATTCAGGATGAGAGATTCATGCCCCCATGTCTGCCTGGTCGGGGGGGGTGGGGTGGATCTCATGTGACTCGTCTTGTGTCACTATTATCAGCAGGAAGGAGTGGAACGAGGAAATCAACACATGAAATGGAGGATGTTTGTATGTAGGAAGTACGGTTAACAAAGTGTCCGATACTTGGATACTTTTAAACCATGTTTTAAAACAACACAGTCCCATTATTCTAATGATGTGAACACAAAAGAAATAACATTTATTTGATGAGAAAGGTGCAATGGAGAGGAATTAGTCTATTTTTTGGAAGATTTATTTTGGGTCTTTTTGCCTTTATTGAATAAGACAGTAGATAGAGTAGGACATCGGGAGAGTGTGGGAATGACATGCAGGAAAAGAGCCACAGGTAGAACTTGAACCCAGCCGCCCGCATGGAGGACTATAGCCACCGTATGTGGGGCGTATGTTTATTTTAACTAGTATCACATCAAAGCTCAAACTTCTGGTATTGTGACAACCCGAGTAGGAACAGGTCACACAGTGCAGCTCTACATTTGGCACAGATGATCTTTTCAAAGAATTGAAATCTAAAAATCATTCTCATATTTACTAGCAGCTAGTTTTATGTCTTTTTAATGGATTTGATATTTTTCAAAGATTGCTCCAGGGATGTCTTTCTCAGTGTGTGACTGCATATTGTTTAACCGTTTCTATTCATAAAATCAGCATTTTTCCACAGTCCATGGAGGTAAATTCCTCGTGCACATTCCTCTTACCATTTCATTACAACAAAGAACAGCTACAGTTTCAATATTGTTCAATGTTCTTTCACACTCCAATTCATTATTTATTAATTCTATTGACATTTCTAGTCAGTATGAGTACTCTCTGGTTTACTTGTTCTTTGTCTTTGCTCTTTATGTTAAGAGGTATGCACCTAAATCAAAACATGAATCCCTGTATGTGCATGCGCCTGTGACTGTGAGTGAGTGAGTGAGTGAGTGAGTGAGTGTGTGTGTGTGTGTGTGTGTGTGTGTGTGTGTGTGTGTGTGTGTGTGTGTGTATGGATACGCAAGCAGACGCTTGGGTGAAATGTAGCACGGAGAAGTTAAATGTTTTTTTTGCACATTTGTAAATACTGTTTTTATGTTGTTTTCGATGTATTGTCCATGCAGCAATTTCCCAGCATCCTTGACAAATTTCTCCCTAGGGAGACCAATAAAGAAACCTTGAACCTTGTATGTGTAAACCCACTTTGCAATAAACCCATTTTTTCATTTTTTTGGCATTACTGTGGATTACCAAAAGACAGAAGAAGAAAAGGTATTTATTTTTATGGGCATGAATAATATTTCACATGTCAATGAATGAGAGCTCTGTGGAATACATTTTTTCACTAAAAAGCAGGTGTGTTATCTGTGTGTGTGTTACCTGGTGGCCCAGTGCAGAGGTGTGGAGTTCAGGTCTCCTCCCAGCTGGTCCACTATGGCTCCCTTTGATATGTAGTACCTTCACAAACACACACATTCAGAATCAGCTGACACTCTTCACTGCATCACATTGACTTATTTTCAGTGATATCATTCAGCTGTAGGCTGTAAAGCTGGATTTTATTTTCTAAATTTGCGTTAACCTTTAAATAACGACCGTATCAAGACGGTTCATATGAGAGCTAGTCTTCATATCATCTAACTACAAGCTCAAGTCTCTAACTTATTTGCTTCTTCCTCTGTCACCTCGGAAAGAAACAAAACATAAAAAAGGACTCACTTGACTAAGTCTATCCTGTTGTTGATGGCGGCCCAGTGGAGGAGCGTTACGTTTTCTTTGTCTGGCTGTCTAACATCGAACCCCGCCTCCACCAACTCCCTGCAGCGCTCGAAGATGCCGTACCTGTGAGAGAGAGAGAGAGAGATTAAGTCGGATTTTTAGAGTAAATACACACATGCATTAAAAAGTAACTAACTAAATCAACAAAACCTGAGCACACTGACAGAACGCAAATATAAATACACACCATAAATCATAAACACACAAACAGACACAAACAAGACTCCCACACTTCAACCAAAGTCCAGAACCTCAAATCAAAACAACATAAATCTGTTGTTTAAAACATCTCAGAAAAAGCTTCTGTTGTCTCATCAGGAAGACATTTCAACATCTCTCCTCTTCCTCGCCTACAGTAACTGCTGAATCAGAAAACCACAGAAACAAACATGGTGCCTTCAACTGGTCACTCGTGTAGTGTTATGTGCAACACTGAGGTACAGTCATTTTAGGAGCATGTGTGTTCAGCTATATCCATCCATCATTTGTTGGAGAGTTTGTCACCCTTCACCCAGGTCTTCCACCAGATCCTCTCTGTTACATCTCTGCACTTCCTCGTCCGTCAACACCTACAGATCACGTTTTTAACTTTACTTCCAATGGCACGAGATAATACACCATCATGTGGTATAATACTGTATAAAACACTCATTCGGGCATTGTTCTGAACCGTCAAAACAAATGTTTTAATGTTGTTTCGGTGTCTGACTTCCTGTCCCGCTTGATCAGCTCTGTGGTAAATTGATGCAAAAATAGAAACCATGCTAATCTTCTGCATAGGGCTCCGAACTGCAGGACAGAGTCAGCGCAGCCACAGGAAACACACACATAGATCATCTCTGTTGCTGTGGTGCAGCGGAGAAGGACCGATCACGCCTCTGGTGGAATTTATTAGTCAGTGTGGAACTGTTTCACATTCTGTCATGTAACTGCACTTTCCTTCTTCAGTTGGCAGATATCAACCACTCGATTCTTTTTGTTAACCCTTTTCACAAAGTCTGTTTATTTTCAAATGCTTTTCAAATCACTTTCTTAAAACGCTTCTCTATTTCTTCTGCGTGTCTTCATTATCTGATCAGCATGGCTTTGCTAGCATGTGTCTTCATTCTTTTTTTTGTCAATCAGCTCATTTTACTTTGAGGTCACTCGTGCATGCCGAAGGTCAATCAGGCATGAAATAGGTCAAGTAAGAATTTATTTTTAGATCCCCTCTGCTTGACCACAAGGCAAGCTGCTTTCTTTGTGTTCATAGTTTGTCAATTGAGATTTGAAACCCCTCATTACAGTTCAGCAAGCATGTCCTGATGTTCTTTTGAGACGACAACACACAGATGGCGACAGATTTACTCACTGTGTGGCTTTGACGATGTCCCAGGTGCTGTAGTCGTCAACATGGTTTTTACGGCTGACAGTCTCGGTGTAGCCGTGGTTGTAATGACTCTGAGGTTTGATTTCCTGAAAAGAGAATGACAGACAGAGATTAAGATGAGTAGGTGAGGCTGTATTGCTTTTTTTTCCAAACAACAGCCATTAAGTGTGAACATCACAAATGTGATCATGTGTATTGAATACTTTAAGGTTTGAGTCAGACAAATGGTGGTTGAAGACATTGCCGCACCAAACACAGCAAGAGAAAAGAAGTGGACAGGTATGGCTATTCTTTAAAAGTGAACATGTCTTTATGCATCTTCATGTTACAGAACCTTTCTACAGAACATTACATAAGAGATGTGGGAGAGGAGGACAGTCTGTGTGTGTGACCCAGATCAAAGATATGGCACATCTCAATGCAATCCCTGAGAACTTCAAAATAAAAGGTATTAGGATGTACTAAAAGACTTAAAAGGGTTTTACATCTTCAAACATAGCACAAATAATTGCTTGTTAACTGTGATTCTTCAAGATAATTTTCCTTTTTAGTTGCTGTGCCCAAAAGCAACACGATCGATCAACAGGGGTGAGAAGGCCTGCAAACCCACACAGATGGTTTCCAATAATACAGCTACGCTTTACGCTTAGGATGTAACTACAGTGGAGTTAAAGGTTACACTATGAGCTACGACCTAACAACAAAGAAAATGTTGTGAAACGTGCAACAAAACCATGAAGGAGAAAAAAAGACTCACAGCTAAGCCTGCAAACACCCACATAGTCTCACACAGGAAGTAAAGTCAGGAAACACAAGAGGAAAGCCTTGTGTTGAATCATCAAACACAGGTGAAATACCTTTATTAACGCTGGATTACACTGCGATGATTGCTGGAGTTGAGCCATCTTTTAGTTGAGCCATCTTTATATTATAGTTCTTCCAGTGCATGCACCGTTTGACATGTATAAATATCTTTTCTGTAGACACTGAGCCTTTATTTATATGACTAATTACACCATTAAAAGAGGGAACTACAGGCTGCAGGACAAAGACAGGCTTCTCGTCCTGTGCAGATGAAGATCTAATCTGTCACACATGAGGGCAGTGAGCTGCTCATATTCAATTAGTCGCCATGGTAACATCAAGGACACAACAATTAAGACTCCATCTCCTAGAAACGAGGGACGCATCTTGTAAACACAGAGCGGGGCGCTTTTTCCTCTCTGACTCCTGACTTTGTGAATGAGCGCTCAAGCTCCTGCTCAATCCAGATAGGCTGCTTTGATTTAATTTCAGAGACACACAAATAATCGAGTCGCAAATACTGAGATACACAAAAGAAAGAAAAAAACAACTGGATCATTTTAAGAGTTAAAGCTATAATGCTCAAAGTGACATGCCCTTGATATAAAAAAAAATCTGTAGTTTAACAACATTACCACCTATAAAAACATTTGTTCCACTTTCAAGCAGGCATTCACACCTATTGGTAGATATATATATAACAGTAAGAAATATTAAGGAAGCCACTAAGGGGGTAGAGGATGACAGGCATGTGCAGTGCTGTTGGGTAGCCTGAGGCACGAGGCCCACAGAGACTTAAAGCTGCACCATATAACATCTGAGTTTAGCTCGGGCTTCCCTACATAGCCAGCAGGACGGGCTGAGCCAGCGTTTCTGCCTCCACGGGGGACTGCTGGTGGAGCAGCAAGAAGAAGATGGTGCAGGACAAAATCTCATACACTCATTCCTTTTCACACTTGGATGGAAAATGACTCACTGGGGCTGCTGAACTATTTCAAGATATTATCTACCAGTAATTGTTGTTATTTTCTCTGCCAAATTGTTCAGTTGTCAACTATAAATCAGATTTTCTTGAAATTGAACTACAGGCCTTTTTCTGTGCTTTCAAATATTTACAAAGATATGATTGCACCCAGCATAATTAAAATCATAATGATGTGACATCTGGTACAAACAACTGTGTTTTCTTGCATGTGGAAAAATAAAGGTTTTACGGTGCAGGATATCTCTGCAGAACTACTTACACATGCTTTATTGTGATTTTGATAGTGTGCATTGTATACTTTAAAGGAGCAATCCGTAGGATATCTACTGAATTCAATCATAAAGTGACCTTACTCTACCATCAGACATTAAGAAAACATGCTATGTTGAAGTGCTGGCTTCAATGACATCAATGCAGCAGCCAGTCTGTCCTTCTAAGTTACGACTGGTCTGTCTGCATTTGTTTTGACAAGAGAAGGTAGGCGGTTTTAAGGCTCCCCCACACAAAGGTTTTGGACACCCCTCAGTTTGCCAGGCAAACGGCAAACCAACAGGTGTTGCAAGTAGGCAAGTGAACTGGTTCAGATAAATGATTCTGTCTGACCTAAAAAGCCTCGGCAGTACACTGAAAGGTATGAAGACAGATGCAGAGCTGGCTAAGCACTGAAGCTTTCGGTGTCCGCTACACTGCAAACTGTGAGAGCATGTACTCTAGGGAGGAGGAGGCGGGGGGAGATAGCTCTCTACAATGTTTTTGAATTTGGACTGCAGTACCCATTTTAAACACTACGCGTCAGAGTTACATATTGTTCCTTTAAAATCAGAACGGCAACATTTTTTTTAAGCATAATGTCAATAATAAAACTTAGAATGTCACAAGAATAGCTCCAACGATTTAAACATTGCATTTTACCAGAGAATGTTATGTTTCTCTAACATGTTATATCAAAAGGTACGATCGGTACATAACTGGACTGTTTCATTAAGTTTTCATAGATCACGTAACAAGCAAGGTGCTCTATGTTGTTAAAAACTTTAACTGAAATTACCCAGTTTCATATTTAGCATATCCTGTTATCAGATGAAATGATGTGAGATTACAGAATCAACAAACAATTTAAATGGTTTGTCTCTCACTTATTCAGCCACGCTGGAAGCTAGGTCAATCTTTTATGCTATGCCTTGATGTGTAACATGTGCACCAACGTAAACACAGCCAAATAAAGAAATAACAGCAATCAGCTCTCTTTCAATTTAAGTTGGCTGTTATCTAAAGCTCATGCATTCGCTCTGACAGCAGAACAAGCTTAAATTCCTACTCCTATCTCCTGAGCTTTACAAATCTTTGCTCATACAGAAGAATAAGTGTAATCTTTCTGTGATACTACCATGGCAACAGAAGGGACAAATACAGGAAAAGAAGCTAGGATCAGTGGAGGAGAGGTTTTATTTTAGAGACTACAGTATGAGGAGGATGTGTTAGAGGGGGTTTGTAAGTGACCCTCCTGTTCTGTTTTAATTCTTGTATTTTTAAAGTGTCAGTGTTGCCAGGAGGTGATTGTACATCTCACTGCCAAGTTTTGGTCATTTATGAATCTCTATGCAATCTGTTTTAACTCCCCCCATGTACTATTCAGACCAGTTTAGCTGGCAGAGAGAGGACAGTGTTGATAAGAGTCTCTTTATGATGATAGTGACTGCACTGTGTCCAGGGTCCGAAAGTAACACCCGCCAAATAGATAGGGTAGATTTTCCGTTTGGCGAGTACTTTTCAGAGGGCTATCCGGTAAATGTTTTATCAAAAAGTCTGTTACTACTGCCTACAAATAAAACAAAAAACAAACAAAGAATTTTTTAATCTACCTGCCACCTTGGCCTGTGAGTCAAAAAGTTAATTTCGGACCCTGACTGTGTCTCTTCAGACTGACAAACTGAAGTCACCTGGGAATTTTAATGACAGAAAACGTGCACCATCACAGGATGACTGTCTGAGGGGGAAGAGGGCCGGACTCTAAACCCTCACACACCAGATGGGACTCCCTTTCCCCATCTCAAGCTAACCTTTGACCCCTTGCCGGTCACTGCAGCTCCTCTCTCCCTCCTGTCATCTAAAAAAAGCTGAGGATGGCATTTGTAACAGTAGTGATAATTGCAGCTAGTGGATTTTTTCACCTCTTAATTATGTTCCTGCTTACATATGATGCATACAATAACTTGGCAAACAGGAGGACTGGTAATATTGTCACTTAAACATATTATCCTTTTCATGTATTGATTTCAGGTTGGAACACATTCTGAGCAGGGGGGCAGCAGGCCTGACTTTTGTCAATGGAGCAGGTCAGTGGGACAGATGGTAACCTCTCCTCAGGGAGGTGGAGGTCACGTGCTTTGAGCAACAAAATGCTAGAGCACCGTCTCTGAAAATGCATGTTTATTCATTAACAGTAGCAGTAGTAGTAGTAGTATCATAATCAGAGCACCAGAACAAAAGAGATAACCAAATCTCTGTTTCGCAACAACAATAAGGTAAGGATTGGCAGAAAAGTAAGAGCTGTACCTCCGACCATGTACCATCCGATTTGGCTCTTCAATAAAAGAATAAGGCTTACTCCACCGACTCAGCCTACAGGAGTCTAATGTATTACCTCTAAGATGCACATTTATCACTATTTGTAATCATAACTGGGTTTTAGGACATTCAAAAATTTCTGGCATATTATTTTTATCGTCTTAAGTCACTTTGCTGTAGTTTTCATTCAAGCAAGTGACTGATTTTGTTCAGCAAGGTTGCCAGAATTAGAACAAGCTGAGTTTCAGCTCCGGTGGAATATTTTTTTAAGTCGGATTTTTAGAGTGAAACGACTTCATTAAAGGGATACTTCACCTGTTGACACATGAATCTGTATTGACATTGGGTCATGTATGTAGAAATGTGAAATACATTTTGAAGTTGGTGCCTTCTTGGCCGTGAAAAGGCAGAAAGTGTCTTTTGGCTTATGTTGATGAAAGACACCAAATCCCAGAATGCACAGTACCGCAGGCCACTCCCACTAAGGTCCTCTAGTTCAGAATCAGAAATACTTTATTAATCCCAGAGGGAAATTCGATCAATACTGTTTCTCCAAAATATACAGTATAGCAGTAGAAATATAGAAATAAAAACATTTACAGACATATTTACTTCAACACATAAGACCGTTTCCTCAACTGATTCAGAGATTTCTTCCAGAATTGATCTTGGAAATTCCTGACAGAAAACAGACTCTATGTCTGTGTCCATAGACAAACAGTGAGCCGT